CGCCTGGCTGAATAGAGTTTTCAATAGGAAAACTTCATATTCAGCCTGGCTGAATAGTGTTTTCAATAGGAAAACTTCATATTCAGCCTGGCTGAATAGTGTTTTCAATAGGAAAACTTCATATTCAGCCTGGCTGAATAGTGTTTTCTATAGGAAAACTTCATATTCAGCCTGGCTGAATAGTGTTTTCTATAGGAAAACTTCATATTCAGCCTGGCTGAATAGTGTTTTCTATAGGAAAACTTCATATTCAGCCTGGCTGAATAGTGTTTTCTATAGGAAAACTTCATATTCAGCCTGGCTGAATAGTGTTTTCTATAGGAAAACTTCATATTCAGCCTGGCTGAATAGTGTTTTCTATAGGAAAACTTCATATTCAGCCTGGCTGAATAGTGTTTTCTATAGGAAAACTTCATATTCAGCCTGGCTGAATAGTGTTTTCTATAGGAAAACTTCATATTCAGCCTGGCTGAATAGTGTTTTCTATAGGAAAACTTCATATTCAGCCCGGCTGAATAGTGTTTTTTATAGGAAAACTTCATATTCAGCCTGGCTGAATAGTGTTTTCTATAGGAAAACTTCATATTCAGCCTGGCTGAATAGTGTTTTCTATAGGAAAACTTCATATTCAGCCTGGCTGAATAGTGTTTTCTATAGGAAAACTTCATATTCAGCCTGGCTGAATAGTGTTTTCTATAGGAAAACTTCATATTCAGCCTGGCTGAATAGTGTTTTCTATAGGAAAACTTCATATTCAGCCTGGCTGAATAGTGTTTTCTATAGGAAAACTTCATATTCAGCCTGGCTGAATAGTGTTTTCTATAGGAAAACTTCATATTCAGCCTGGCTGAATAGTGTTTTCTATAGGAAATACTTCATATTCAGCCTGGCTGAATAGTGTTTTCTATAGGAAATACTTCATATTCAGCCTGGCTGAATAGTGTTTTCTATAGGAAATACTTCATATTCAGCCTGGCTGAATAGTGTTTTCTATAGGAAATACTTCATATTCAGCCTGGCTGAATAGTGTTTTCTATAGGAAATACTTCATATTTAGCCTGGCTGAATAGTGTTTTCTATAGGAAATACTTCATATTCAGCCTGGCTGAATAGTGTTTTCTATAGGAAAACTTCATATTCAGCCTGGCTGAATAGTGTTTTCTATAGGAAAACTTCATATTCAGCCTGGCAGAATAGTGTTTTCTATAGGAAAACTTCATATTCAGCCTGGCTGAATAGTGTTTTCTATAGGAAAACTTCATATTCAGCCTGGCTGAATAGTGTTTTCTATAGGAAAACTTCATATTCAGCCTGGCTGAATAGTGTTTTCTGTAGGAAAACTTAATTTTCAGCCTGGTTGAATAGTGTTTTCTTTAGGAAAACTTCATATTCAGCCTGGCTGAATAGTGTTTTCTATAGGAAAACTTCATATTCAGCCTGGCTGAATAGAGTTTTCGATAGGAAAACTTCATATTCAGCCTGGCTGAATAGAGTTTTCGATAGGAAAACTTCATATTCAGCCTGGCTGAATAGTGTTTTCTATAAGAAAACATCATTTTTAGCCTGGCTGAATAGTGTTTTGTATAGGAACACTTCATATTCAGCCTGGCTGAATGGTGTTTTCTGTAGGAAAACTTAAATTCAGGCTGGCTAAATACAGTTTTCTTTATTAAAACTTCAATTCAGCCTGGCTGAATAAGGTTTTTTTATAGGAAAAATTCAAATCAATTTAATTTTTTTCTCTCACTGTCGACCATTCTGCATACGAGGTTTATCCCATCATCATTGGTTGCTTTATGTTTCTTTCATTTCCACCGTAGATCCGTTTATCCGCTTGGCAGTATGTCTGTCTGTCCGTCCTTCCTTATCCCAACCAACCAGCCGTCTGTCCATTCATTGAACGTCTGTCCTTTTGTGTTTTGTTTGTTCGTTTTTTTTTTTGTTTCATCTGAAAGGAGTTTAGTTTTTTGGAGAAGTATGTGTTGATCGGCAAATACCGTTGCGGTATCCACTTTGATGATGACAATAGCTGCACGCGCCCAATTTACATTTACGAGTATGTCTACCGAAAACCAATGTTAAGCGAATTTTTCATTGAGCTGGGTAATATATATTTTTGTTAGCTGACTGGCTGTTCGGCCGGCTGACTGGCTGTTCGGATGGTTGGTTGGTTTGTTGGTTAGCAGCATAACAAGAACAACATGACCAGAACACAACAACAATCAATGGATATTTTTCTGGAGGATTTTTCTTTTAAACTGGGCAATCAAAACAGTCAACAAAAGTTATGCTGTTGGTGTTGTTGTTGCTGTAAACAAAACTAAACGACCAACAACAAAAATCGTCAACCTACCATTTCGTAGCCAAATATCAAGCAGTAGCCACCTTAGTACCATGAAAAAGTGATGCAGTACTGTGATGTTAAACTTAAACGTTTTGCTAGTACTTGCGACTGCTGTTAAGCTGTTGTTGTTGTTGGTGGTGGTGCTGCTGCTGATGGTGGCGGTTGTGGTCTGGGTGACCAAAAGAGCCCAGTTAAAGCACGACACTTGAATTTGTTTCTGGGTTTTTTTTGGCATGGGGTACCTTTTGCTTTGCATTGTCTCTCTGTCCGTCCGTCCGCCTGTTCGGCTGACTGGCTGGGTGACTGTGTTGGGGGGAATTTTTCTCGTTCAATTTCAATATTTAAGGATAAACTGTCAATATGTCTACTTTAAATACATATATTTAGTGAACCTATAAATCGTTAACTGTCGTCAGTTGCCACGGTTTTTAGATTCTTTCTTCTGTGTGTGCCGTTTTTTTTACCAACTACCTACCTACTTTTTTCGGTGGCATTGGCGTAGTCGTTTTTTTTCGTAGAGGAATTTAGTTTGTTTTTTGTTTGATTTGATGGGGATTCCAGTCAATGTGTATCGAATATTTGCATATTTTGTTTGGCATAAACCAGTAAGCGGAGCAGTATAGTCGGATGTGGCCGACCATATGATACCCTATACAACTACCACTGAACTCTTTTCGTTCGGTACAGCTGTCGCTGGGTTGACAATCCCTGGCCGAGTCGAACCCGGAGCGTAGATCCGATTGTCGTGGGAACGCAGGAACCACCTGAACGGACCATTGTGAAATAGGCCTTAAATATATCGGTTTGATAGGGTCGATCATTCCGAGCTAATATCCGAAATCAGAAATTCTACCCTTCCGAGTGATATCAAGCGTTGACTTGCCAAGGTAGTTGGCAAGCCTTCGTTGAGTTCCGTGGCTCAAAAAACCAAACATCTCAAGATCAAAACGGGAGTAACGCAAGGCGGTGTCATATCTCACATTTCTTGCGAAACTCCGCATTCCTCCACCAGATGTTTCTGTGGTGTCGTACAGTTATTTCGTCCAACGTTAACATTGTCGACGTAAGTGCAAAAATTGCCAACTCTTTAACCACCATTACCAACTTCATCCGGGAGCGCAATCGAAAATTATCCACTGCAAAGTCTACTGTGTCACTTTTCACTTCAGGACGTGAGAAGTCAATTTAGAACTCGGCATTTCCCCACCGTCCATTATCCGAAAATCCTTGGGGGTGGTATTCGATAATCTCCTTCATTTCTCCTCGCATTCTAACTACATCGACCACAAGGTAAAAGCTGGGAATAAAGTACTGAAAGCTTTGGCTAGCACCTCCTGGGGCAAGGATAAAGAAACTTTGGAAACGGCATTGAAGGCCATTGGTCGTTCCATCCTTAAATAGACTATCCCAGTCTGGACTTCTTCCATCCTTAATTATGCAGCCCCAGTCTGGCGGCACACAATGGAGATCCTTGCAAACAGCACAAAATAATGCACTCCGAATTGCAAACGACTGTGTCCAGATGTCGAGCGTCGATCACCACTATGAGTAAACAACCACTATGAGTAGACCTAGTGACACACAGTTATGGCAGATACACCTCCGCGACACATCCATCAGGACTTGAGCGCTATTGTCATTCCATCGGACGTCAACAGATTGTTGATAGCGAACGCGATGAAATCCGTGCGTCAACTGGTGGTCTCCGAAGCCATTTTACCCTCTTGATATTAACCGGTCATTATCAAAACGAACACTCTAATAAGTTGGCCCTATCCCCGTGTAAAAGCTTATAATAGTGGTCTCTAAAGCGACTAGAAAACCAGACAAAAATAAAGTTTTCATTTCACCTTCTAAGTATATCTGCCACAACCACTCCACTTGGATATCCTGCCAACTTCTCCGGTCTATGTCCTATAGAAGTAAATATATATGCCATAGAATGCTCATTTTGCCATTTTCCTCACAAAAGTCTGGGTTCGTTTGATCCGCTAAATATTGACTGATTATCATGAAAAGAGACATGTTTGTTTCTTGGTCAGATCCTCTTTCCTATGTAAAATTTCATGAGGTTCAGGTCATAACTTTGATCTATAGAGCGATCAGGAATACAGGAAAAAAATTTGCTACATTTTCTCTCTAAATATTACTGAACTTTACTCCTAATGCAAAATTCCGTGATGATTCGTCCATAACTGTAGCCTGTATCGTGTTTAAAAGTTATAATGGACAGACGGACGGATGGACACATATGTCGGTATATTTGAAGGTGGATCTGGAAGCAATATTTCTCGACGTAACAAACTCTTAGGGACACACAAAGCTACAATACCTTTACAAAAATAGATTTAAAACTTACCGCTTGTTCCATTACTCTTTATTCACATTTGTCCATCACTTTTAACCCCAACCTGTCTACGGCTCTGTCCATTAGTGGAAAAAAACGTTCTACATTGCTCTTCTGTCTGCCAAAGCGACATTTACTAAATTTATATTTAAAACTTAAGAAACACACTTTCCTCATGCACTGTCAACCATCTACCGACGACCGAAGTTAACTTCAACTCCTGTACTTACCGCTTTGTTTTGTTATACTTGTTGTTGTTGTTGCTATTTAAAACTGAACTCTTTTTCGTCTTCTTCTTTCTATTTTTAGTTCGAAAAAATACAATTCACCCATAAATCGTACCCCCGAATACAACAACAGCAGCAGCAACACGGTCACTACCGGTGGCAGCGGTAATGGCGCTGAACTTCACGAAACAACAACAACAGCGGCGACAACACTGCTTGCCGACGGTCGTTTAAGTTCGCTACATGAAACGAACGCTGGCAATAATAGCTCCGACATTGCCTATCAATATCGGCATGGTAGTGAACATTCCTCGTCTAGCCTACACTCACCGGTAGTACATCATCATTCCACCTCAAGGTCTACACCTACGCACAATAACAGTTATGATGGTGATCCTCACAATGCCGGAGATCCAAATGTGGTAGCTGTGTCCTTACCTTTGACCTCACAGTGTCATAATTCGGTAATCATGTCCAATTCGTATATGGTAGCATCAACACCTTCGCCAGTTTCACATACACATCAACAGCACCTACAACAACAACAACAGCAGCATCACCAACAACATCAGCAGCAACAACAACATCACAATTCATCACAGCATTTAATTGGTTCCAGCATACCCTCGATGTTGTCCAATGCGAATTCTGCATCCTCTGCCACAATGTTGAATAAATATTTAACACATCCGAATATGATGTCGATTGCAATGTCTTCGGATACCGAAGATTATGCCGGGCATATGGGTACGGCTGCCGCATCATCTGTGGGCGTTGGTGGTAATGTTGTTTCGGGTACAATAATGGATAGCCCAATGTGGGCCTACGATTACAAGGGTGAATTGTGTGCCGCCAATGCCAGCTATCTGGATCAACGACACAAATTAGTCAACGAAGTTAAGTTTCGTGCTGTTGCCAACAGCCAGTCTAAATGTGCCAAAGAAGCTAGAATCCGAAGACCGATGAATGCGTTTATGGTCTGGGCGAAAATCGAACGTAAAAAATTGGCCGATGAAAATCCGGATTTGCATAATGCGGATTTGAGTAAAATGTTGGGTAAGTTTTTGGCTGAATAATGTTCTTATAAGAACTTACACCTAAGGCTCTGATAGTCCTTCAAATGATTTCCTTAAAAAAACTCACGCCTGAAGATCTGATAGTCCTTCAAATAATTTCTTAAAAAAATCACGCCTGAAGATCTGATAGTCTTTCAAATAATTTCTTGAAAACCCACGCCTGAAGATCTGATAGTCCTTCAAATAAATTTTATAAAACCCCAGACCTAAGACCATGATAGTCCTTCGAATAATTTTTTTAGAAAACTCATGCCTAAGGCTCTGATAGTCCTGCAAATAAATTTCTTAAAAAATCTACGCCCAAGGTTCTGAAAGTCCTTCAAGTAATTTTCTTAAAAACCCCACACCTGAGGATCTGATAGTCCTTCAAATATTTTCCTTAAAAAACCTGATAGTCCTTCAAATAATTTCCTTAAGAAACCCTCGCCTTAGGATCTGAAAGTCCTTCAAATAATTTAAAAACTCCAAGCCTAAGGCTCTGATAGTCCTTCAAATAGTTTTCTATATAAACCTACGCCTTAAAAAAATCGCGCCTGAAGATCTGATAGTCCTTCAAATAGTTTTCTATATAAACCTACGCCTTAAAAAAATCGCGCCTGAAGATCTGATAGTCCTTCAAATAGTTTTCTATATAAACCTACGCCTTAAAAAAATCGCGCCTGAAGATCTGATAGTCCTTAAAATAGTTTTCTATATAAACCTACGCCTTAAAAAAATCGCGCCTGAAGATCTGATAGACCCTCAAAAATTCTTCTTAAAAAACCCACGCCTAAGGCTCTGATAGACCTTCAAATAATTTCCTTAAAAAACCACGCCTATGGCTCTGATAGTCCTTCAAATAATTTTCTTAAAAACTCCAAGCCTAAGGCTCTGATAGTCCTTCAAATAGTTTTCTATATAAACCTACGCCTTAAAAAAATCGCGCCTGAAGATCTGATAGTCCCTCAAAATTTTTTCTTAAAAACCCACGCCTAAGGCTCTGACACACCTTCAAATAATTTTCTGAAAAAACCACGACTAAGGCTTTGATAGACCTTCAAATAATTTTCATAAAATACCTACGACCCACACCTTAGGCTCTGATAGTCCTTCAAATAATGTTCTTAAAACCCCACACCTAAGGCCATGATATTCCTTCAAATATTTTTTTTAACTCATGCCTAAGGCCTAATTATAGTCCTTCAAATAATTTCCTTTAAAAAAACACCCCTAAGGGTTTGATAATTCTTCAAATAATTTCACTAAAAACCACTTCAAATAAGGTTCTGATAGACCTTCTAAAAATATTCTTTAAAAACCCACGCCTAAAGCTCTGATAGTCCTTCAAAATCTCTTATACTCCTTCTTTAAAAACTCTGATAATATTCTTTTTGTCGTTATTAAAAATATCCACATGTTTGTTGTTTCTCTGTACAGGTAAAAAATGGCGATCGCTAACACCTCAAGATCGACGACCCTATGTCGAAGAAGCTGAACGTCTCAGGGTTATACATATGACCGAACATCCCAATTATAAATATCGACCCCGACGAAGGAAACAATCAAAAATGCGTTCGCTACAAACAAATGGAGTGGCAAAGGAGGCGAATGGCTCCGCCACAGCCGGCAATCAATCTCCGAATAAAACTGCAAATAATCAACAAAAATCCGCCGGAACACCACCCTCAAATTCAATGTCTTCGGGGACGTATGAAACAAATTCAAATCAAAGAAATTCAACACCACAAATACAATTGCCACCGACAAGTGGTGCTGTCACGAGCAGTCTTTATGAACAGACCTTGAGATCGAATTATTCGCCCAGCTCGTTAGATTGTTACAGTAATCCCGATTTGACAAGCGGAGATAATGGGGAATATTTGAATTGTGCCGCTTCATCGGGCGCCACGCAGACTATTGAAATGAGTTCCGTCAGAACAGGAAGTAATTACGGCATAGAAGAATCTAATGTGAATGGTACAGCATCTCCCAATTCTACAGCGGCATATAAGAAAATTGGTTCCCGCAACTCGAGCATTGTGGGGACACCGAAGAGCCACAGCAGAAATCGTTCAGTAACCAATTCTACGCAAAAACACACAAAAGAGTCACAGAAACAAAGTAAAGAAAGCGACGCTGCTGTCGCATCCCACACATATCCCCTCAGTGCCACCTCAATGTCAGTGGTGGCAGGACGTGGCATGTATGTGACCTGTACAAATCGTGGTCTCTTAGATCATGGGCATTCGGTTAAGGGCACATTTTATCCACCAGTCTCAAGCCTGGATGAGGATAAACATCACTTGAGTAGCCATACAACGGCAATGAGCCATGCCAATCACTCCGCCGGCAGTGGTGGCATGCATTTGGGGTATGGGTCACAACATTTGCATCAGAGCGATATTAATTTTTCCGCCCTGGACTCATCACGTTTGGCTCAGACAGGAGTGACATCTTCAGGAGATTATCTTGTGGCCTCCAATGCCTACAACGTTAGTCCCAATGTTACCTATGAGGACTATTTGCGATACACGTCCAGTGCCCATGCTGCCGCTGCCCATGGTTCGCAATTTGTGGACAGTGATTATGTTTCAGCCTCAAGTGAAAATAATGCCGCCACAATTGAAGATGACACCCTGAAAAGTATTAACGCCCTGAAGCAAGCCAAGTATCCGGATACCAATCACAATTACGATAGCTATGAGACCTTTAATCCCATGGTAGTATCTACCTCAAGTGGTAGTTATTATAGTCAGTTACCTTACTCCTTGGCTGGACAATCTTTCCCTCTCCAATTGGCCTTACCTTTGCAGCAAAGTTCCCTGGCAGGAGGAGTATACGGCCAGGTGGCATCACAACATCAAAATCAAAGTTATCTCCACTATAATCACTACAGTCCCCAGATATCGTCACAAATGTCTCACATTGCCGATAGTGGTAATAATTCACCCTCCCACCTTAGTTCCACCGGACTCAATATGACACAAACAACATCGAGTGCTGCAACAACGCCCTCTTTACCCACCAGCCTTGTACAGTCATCCACCACGTCTTCCTATGCCAGCCATCCGCACAATCATCATCACCACCACCACCACCATCATCATCCTCCACCTCATGCCCCCGTATTTGGAGCGGTACCAAATTCCGCCGGCTCTGTTTTGGGGGTGGGAGAAATGCTGATCGAATCGAGGCGTGATGAAGAAATTAGTAATATTTTAGCTGGTGTACGTAAAACCTGCTACAGTAATTAACTGTATTGAGGCCGAGGGGGGAGTTACCATCCCCCATAAATATTCGTTGGACCACAATATCCCGCGTTATATATATACATTTTTTTATCATATTCTACTTTTATTTACTTTTCTTCTTTTTTATTTATAAATTCAATAATTCATTTATTTTTCTCATGTGTAGTAGTACCAATAGTAGTTGTAGTTGTATTATTTTTTGTATGTGTGTAGCAAGTTTTGTTTGTACCATTCCACTCGTTCATCAGATATCCATCCCAGTATTGCATCTTGTTAAAAAAAACATTTTATTATTGATAAATTAAATTTTGTAAATAAAATCAAATGAAATTGAAAAAGTAAAGAAATTGTGAATTTTTTATTTGCACAGGAAGGAAACTACGAAAACCACTCAGGGAAACTCAAAATTTCTGGAAATATAAAAAATGTATGGAGTGTAATTATATTTCAGTCTGAAGTGAAAACAAGTGAAAAAGCGTTAAGTTCGGCCGGGCCGAACTTTGGATACCCAGCACCATATAGATATACTGACAGGTAATAGAAATGAAAATATAGGGAGCATACCAAAAAGTGGACCTATACCGACATTTCTAACAACGGATTATGTAAACCATAATACAAATTTGAGAAATTTTTAATGGATAATTATACCTTCAGCCTTATGGCGAATAAGAGTGTATACACTTTAACACGGTGAAAATGTGTCTCATCGAAATATTGGTTCTAGACCCCATGTTCATCTTTGGACCAAATCCGTTTCAGAAAATTAAGATTTCATCCAAACTTTGTCCATATTATTATTTCTTCCAAACCTAGTTCAAATTCGAAGATGGGGAATATCGGTCCACTCCTTCTGGAACCCCCACACAGGGGCTAGGTCTAAATGCAGCTATAGTTCATTATCGAACCTTTCGTTACAATATTTTATGTCGCTATCCTCCGCAGGTGAAATGATTACAACAGAGTCTTAGAACAAAACTCAAAACGCGGAACAAATCAAATAACTATTTTAATCTCTATATATATAAAAATTACGTGTATGTTCGTGATCGATAAACTCAAAAACTACTGCACCGATTTGGACCAAATTGTATGTACACGCTCTATGGGACGTGAGGAGTGTTTCTGTGTAGTTTGAAGTTCATCCGACAGATGGCGCAATATTTAGTTTTTTTTTGGTTTTTTACTATAATTCAAGAACTAATGCACCGATTTTGACCAAACTTTACGTATATGTCCTTTGGGGCGTGAGTAGTGTTTTTGTGTTTAATTTTAAGTTCGTCCGACAGATGGCGCGATATATAGCTTCTTTGTGTTTTGCCCGATTAGAGCTTGGGTGCTTAATCGGTGTGTGCTGACGCTAAGTATTCCGACACCGACTCATACATAACCTGTTTTCGTGAAAAACGCGAAAAATGAATAACTTATCAAATTGAGGTAAAATTAATTTAAATCTAATTATAAAAATGATTTCAAACCGTATAGTAACTCATCAATTGAGAACGCCGGCAACGTTTTGACTCAAAATTTCTTTCACTTGCCAGTAATTGAAGAGGGGAGGCTTTTATGCAAGAACATTTTGAGAAAAATCTGCGAAAATTTTGCAAAAAATATTTCGAAGAAACGGCTGGACCGATATGCCTGCCATTATGTGGGAAATACCATAAAGTGATACTATACCGACAATTTACTGAGAAGTTCCTTATCCTACATGAAATACCGAATAAAAGGCAATGTATACGGTATTTGTTACTACGTTCAAAGTACATAAAATAGTACTATGCCAAAATATGGACAAATATAATTAAACCTCATTACTATAATTGTGAGCCAATTTTTTAACTTATAAAACCAACACATGACATATATCCCACACTATATCTGAATCATTGGCTGAAACTTGAACGTATTCTAAATAGGAAAAAACCGGCTTTATTTGTGAAAAATGTCAATACGTATACATAGGATATACCAAAATGTCCATTACAAATACCTCAACAATTTAGCTAGATATGGAAGGTATTATTGTCAATTTATTATATTCAGGAAGTATATATATAAATATGAATCCTACATGGAGACAACTGCGCATTAGATGCTCTAGGTGTCTATCTTATATGTGTCTTTATGGTCCCTCAAATGTATTATTCATGATGTGATTGTTCTTCGATTGTTTTTAATTGCATTGGGAAGAGTTTTACCAAAGAAAAATTTGAGAAAAACATAAAAAGTCGGAGATTGGAGTAATTGAACACACACCTTTTATAGGATTTATTAATCGAATGTGATCAAAATAGGAATAGTAATTATCTTTTGTGATAAGAGTAGTTGGATCAAAACTTAACCTTCTACTTAAAAATGTTTGGTGGCATAAATTCGATCAATTGATAAACTGAAATACCACATATACTGACATTATTTAACACTAGAACGCCGAAGGCCGTCATTTTGACCGCTTTCCAATTTCAAGTACAAAAGCAACTGTGCATTTAATGACACTTTTTTTAAATATGGTGACTTTTTATACCTCATAGAATTACGTTTATTATAAAAAATTCACCAAATTTAAAAAAAAGTGTCATTAAATGCACAGTTGCTTTTGTACTTGAAATTGGAAAGCGGTCAAAATGACCGCCTTCGGCGTTCTAGTGTTAATATTTAACAATAACAATATTACTTAATATACTGGAGTATCAGTAAATGAAGGTTTACCGTCATGAGGAAACAAATATGCATAATATTTTTTGATTGTGGAAATTTGACGTACAATTTTGGTAAAGAGGGTCTGAAATATATTTTCCATGAATTCTTTAATTTTGACCAACCCCATATTGATGCAATTCTGATAAGGCAAAACAACGTTTGCCGGGTCTGCTAGTATAAAATATAAAAAGGGGGTTATATGGGGACTACCCCAAAAAGGGGGCGAATATTAACAATTTTTGGTAAGGAGATTTGTTTTCATATACGACTACAAAATACCAAATTGCAGCGACTTCGGATGAAAAACGCGCTCAAGAACCCTAAAATACCGAATATTGGGGATACCCTTATATGGAGGCTACCCGAAAAAATTGACCTATATTCATAATTTTTTGTTGAGAAATTCGGTACCTATTAAGAACTCAAAATACTAAATTACAGCCAATTCGGTGGAAAAATACGATCAAAACCCCCAAAATACTAAAAATTAGGAGGTACCGTTATATGGGGCTACCAGAAAAAGTAGACCTATATTTATAATTTTTTGTGGAGACATTTAGTACCCAATAAGAACCCAATGTTGCAAATTTCAGCGAATTCGGTTGAAAAATGCGCTCAAGAACCCCAAAATACCGAAAATTGGGGGGTACTGCTATATGGGAGCTATGCTTAAACGTGGACCTATATACCCCATCTTCGAACTTGACCTGCCTGCAGACAAAAGACAACACCCTATCTCAATTCCTTCAGAAGATAGCGTGATTACAACAGACGGACGGACATGGCTAGATCGTCTTAGAATTTTACCCTGATAAAGAATATATATACTTTAAGGGGTCGAAAATGAATATTTCGATGAGTTACAAACGGAATGACAAAATTAATATACCCTCCATACTATGGTGGAGGGTATAACCAGTAAGGAAAATTCAAAAGTCGGACGGGGCCGACTATATGATATCCTTCACCACTTCGGATACATACAAGAGATGCTAATATATACAGTATCCTGTAGATAGTACAGACATCTAATCTTTAGAGGACCATTGAAATGGAATGGGGCGAAACTAAATGTGTGATCTACATCGATATGTGAACCAAGAAAAAAACTCAATGCACATACCATTCGGAAATCTATGAAAAATTGTATGTCAATCGGATTTTTTTATGTACCATTTGTATGAAATCTGGGAAAATAATGTATTTGGAGCTATATGCAAACCGTTGCATATACCTTTGGTATGATGCAGCACAGAGCGCTGTTCACAATTTTATCTCGTGTATAAGGAACAGACGTAGGCTCCTCTGTGCATCATTTACCAAAAATCGGAAGAAGCTATAAATGGGAGCCTTATCTAAATCTGAACCGATTTTCACAAAACGTCGTATACATTAATAAGAACCTATCTCAATATGTTGTGCACAATTTTGTATCAATCAGACAAAACTTGGGAGTTTGGTGGACCATTTACCAAAAAAATCGGTATAGGGGAGATATGTCCAAATATGAACCGATTTTCCCAAAACTCCTTTTACAACAATGTGGACCTATTTCAATACGCTCTGCCAAATTTTGTCTCAATCGGAAAAATTATGGAAAGTTTGGTGCACCATTTACCTGATTGATGGTAACAGCATGGCCATTTTCATTATGGAAGAAAAACGGCCCAATGACCGTCTTCGCACTAACGCCGCACCAAACTGTGACTTTTTCGTCATAAAGAGACACTTCTTGAATCTCCTGAGGATTTTCAGTGGCGTAAAAACGGCAATTTTGCTTATTTACGGTCCCATTCAATGTCCGCAGGCAACATTCTTTGCGTCAATTGAATTTTGTATGGGAACAAATGCAAATCAATGCGAATAATCCGTTGTAAAGTGGACCGAGCCATGCCCAACTGCTGAGAACGGCGTTTTTGGTATGTTCTTGGGGACCTCTCAACACTGGCTCGTACGGCAGCAATATTCTCGGCCGATCGCCTTGGTCGACTTTTATATGGCCTCTTCGGATTAGAAAAAGCCTTATCAGTCGAAAATTTTTCGTATAAACGCTTAATGGTGTTCTTAGAAGGCGCACATCTCACATTTTTTAATGTGTCAAAAGCACGTTGAGTTTTCACAATTGACTTCTTCTGTTGAATGTAAATTTCGACTATTTCAGAGCGCTCGCGTGGCGTGTATTGGTTCATGGTAAAAATCTGCTTGGACTGACGCTTCAAACGCGGTATGTCATTAAGCGATGTGACATCTCTGCAAAAGTTATGGCGTTGCCAGATGGGTCCGACGAATATGGGCAACCCTGTAAATGGTGCACCAAAATTTAAATATTTTTCCGATTGGGGCAAAATTTTGCTCAGCCTACTGAATTAGGTCCTGTTTGATATTTATGAAGTTTTGTTGAAATCGTTTCAGATTTAGATATAGCTTTCATATATAGTTTCGTCCGATTTTTGGTATCGCAACATGATGACCAATTTTGTGATGCCAATTATTCGTCGAAAGCGTATGAGGCAGTTCTGGTTTCAACAAGACGGCGTTCCACCGCACAAAGTCGCATAACAATCGATTTTCTGAAGAATTTGTTTTCGGGCCGTTTGATGTCTAAAAGTGGTGATTTGGACTTTCCATAGCGTTCGCCCGATTTGACGCCGCCTGACTTCTTCTTGTGGGGATATTTGAAGTCAAAGGTTTACGTTAACAAGCCAAGGACCGTAGAAGAGCTCAAGAACAACATTCGTGAAGAAATAGCAGCTATTCCGGCCGAAATGTTGGCAAAAACGATGGAAAATGCAGCAAAAAGGGCACAATACGTCATCAACGCCAGAGGCGGCCATTTGAGAGATATCATATTCAAAAATTGATGTAAACAAATCTACTTGGAACAAATTTTTATTTTTTTCTTTGATTTTTAAGAAAAAAACATGGTTCCGTCGAATATGGGCAACCCTGTACATAAAATCGGACGAAACTATATACGGGAGCTATATCTAAATCTGAACCGATTTTCTTCAATCTCAATAATGTTCGTCCTTGAGCCAAACAAATGGGCTGAGCCAAATTTCATCCAATTCGGATCATAAATGCGACCTGTACTTTGTGTACAATTTAACATGGACAGACGGACATGCATAAATCGACTTAGAAAGTGATTCTATGCATATTCTCAAAAGGAACCATGGATCTATCTCGATTCCTTTTGTCTGTTACAAACATATGCACAAAGACATATACTCTGTACCACAGTGTGGTGAAGGGTATACAAATGCTAGGAAAAATCTTATCCTATGATGTAATTTAGTTTAGAGGGAAAATTGAAGTTCCGACCCTATAAAATATATATAATCAGCGTAAAATTCTATGACGATATAGCCATGTCCGTCTGTCTGTTGTAATCACCCTAGCTTCTAAACGAATTGAGATAGATCGCCAACATTTTGCATAGAATCGTCTTTTGTCTGCAGTCAAGTTCGAAGATGGGCTTTATGGTCCACGTTTAGGCATAGCTCCCACATAAGGGTACCCCCAAATTGTCGGTATTTTGGGGTTCTTGGGCGCGTTTTTCAACCTAAAAATCTTCCGATTTGCACGAAATTTGACACAGCGTACTGAAGGCATCCTAGACTGATGTGTGCAAAGTTTCGTAAAAATCGGTTCAGATTTAGATATAGTTCACATATATGTTATCGTCCGATTTAAGTTAAATGGTACACCGAAGTTCCTTCGATTTACACGATATTTGTCACAGCGTACTAAATTCAGCCCAGACCGATGTGTGCAAGTTTAATAAAAATCGATTCAGATTTAGATATAGCTCCCATATATATTTTCGTCCGATTTAATGTAAACTGTGCAACAAGCCTAGAATGATATGATCTAAGTTTCGTGAAAATCGGTTGAGATTTAGATATAGCTCCTGTATATATTTTCGTCCGATTTAAGGTAAATGGTGCACCAAAGTCCCTAAATTTCTTTCGATTTGCACGAAATTTGGCATAGCGTACTGAATTAAGCCTACAATGATTTGTGCTAAGTTTTTTGAAAATCGGTTCAGATTTAGGTATAGCTCCCATATATATTTTCGTCCGATTTAAGATAAACGGTGTACCAAAATCCCTATATATCTTTGGATTTGCACGAAATTTGGCATAGCATTATGAATTTGGTCAAGAACGATGTGTGTTAAGGTTCCTGAAAATCGGTTCAGATTTAGATATAGCTCCCATATATATTTTCATCCGATTTAATGTAAATGGTGCACAAAAGTCCCTATATATCCTTCGACTTGCACGAAATTTGGCAGAGGGTACTGAAATAAGCCTACAATAATGTGTGCTAAGTTTTTTGAAAATCGGTTGAGATTTAGATATAGCTCTTGTATATATTTTCGTCCGATTTAATGTAAATGGTGCATCAAAGTCGATATATATCTATCGATTTGCACGAAATTTGGCACAGCGTTATGAATTTGGTCAAGAACGATGTGTGTTAAGGTTCCTGAAAATCGGTTCAGATTTAGGTATAGCTCCCATATATATTTTCGTCCGATTTAATGTAAATGGTGCACCAAAGTCCCTATATATCCTTCGACTTGCAGGAAATTTGGCACAGCATACTAAAATAAGTCTAGAATAATGTGTGAAAAGTCTCGTGAAAATTGGTACAGATTTAGATATAGCTCCCATATATATTTTCATCTGATTTTAGGTAATTGGTGCACCAAGGTCTCTGCAAATCATTCGATTTGCACGAAACTTGTCATAGCATACTGAATTAAGACTCGAATGACGTGTGCTAAGTTTCGTGAAAATTAGTTCAGATTTAGATATAGCTCCCATATATATTTTCGTCCGATTTTATGTAATTGGTGCACCAAAGTCCCTATATATCTTTCGATTTGCACGTATTTTGCTTAGGCTACTGAATTTAGTCTAGAATGATGTTGCTAAGCTTCGTGTTGCTAGGTCGTGTCAATCGACCTAGATATGTATCTGATCTGTACTGATGTAATATAAATTAGTCTCTGGCAAGATTCTCTGAAATCGGTTCAGATATAAATATATAACAAAAACGCATCGTCTGTTAGGATACATATGTAGAATATACCCAAAGTGGTGAAGGGTATCATAGAGTCGACCCAGTCTGATTTTACTATTTTCCTTACTGTTGTTTTTTTTCATATTACCACCAACGTATATAATTCACCACCACCACTTCACATCCTTATTCACCACCACCACAACCATCATTGTAACGGAATTTCACGAATCATTCAAAATACTTATACATCCCTGTTGACAAACACTATTGTGAATGATGTATCCTGAATGTCAACATAAGGGATGTTCAAAACGGAATATCAGGAGCATGCGTCCTCGGGAGACTGTGAAAATTTTTTGGCAGTGTAAAGCAAAACGAAGAAAAGAAATCCACATTTTACACTAAATTTTTGTTGGCGTTAGTTACTTGTTATAACGTTACATAAAAAAGAGTAAATATTCCATTGAAATTTTAAACATTTTCTTGCAATTACATCATAAATAAGTAGTTCAAGTTGTTAGCTTTTTAGAGGATATTAAATAATTTGTGTAGAATTCCTATTAAAGCTGTAATTTTTATCAAATGAAAAATCCAAAATTTTGCTACCATTTCAGTTTTTAGTGTGTTAACCAAAAATCGAAGAAAAAAGCGAAAAGATTTTATAATTTGTATCGATCGGATTGACTGACTGACTGTTCCCATCATATATTGCTTTATTTTTCCTACGATGCTACGATGGACTCTGTGTTTGAAGAACAAATTTCGTTTTTATTAATGGACCAAATGTAGAAGGCAGAAAGAACGAAAGAAAAAAGTGGATCAACGACATTGCAAGCAGGAAAAAAATTTATAACATTAGAAAAAAGTTCAGCAAGATTTTCGTAATCCAGAAAATCTATGAAATCTCAAAATTATAATTGAACAAATACTCTAAAGAAGGGTATCCACTCTGTTTTCCAAAAAAACAGCAACATTAAAGCCATAAGAAAATTACTTGAATAATTTCTTTTTGGAAATCCCCCACCCACAATTTGGTCCCCCATCTCGAAAGACTTATTCAACGCAACACAGTTGTCAGCATCGTAGTGGTAGTAGTAGCAGTAGTGTAGAGCCAGCAGTCAAACGCCAAACGAACGAAAGCAAACAAAAAGACGCACACATAAAAACAGCCAACCAAAGCCACCTTCACCTACCCCCATATCAATCTACCCCGCTTACTGCCCTGCCCGCCTATATCCTTTCATTGTACTACATCGCATCGTCGCTGTTCATCCAACCATTTCGACTTCGCCCAGTATTGGAATTATTTAATCATGGCATTTTTAAATAAATTGAAATCCGCACCCTTACCACCTCTCAAAAATATCCTCAATGTAGCCGTTCAGACTGCTCGCCAACATATGCCCGATAAGAAGGACTATGAACAACCAGGTGGTGGTGGTGGTAGACCGACAATGCCACAACAGCCCGATAGCACACAGGCCATGTTCCATGGTGATGAGAATACCTATGGAACTACCGGTAAGTTTTTTTTTGTTTTTGCTGGAATTTTGGAATTTATTTTGGATTTTGATTAATTTATTATTTTTATAGATGATAGACCGACAGAATTGAATCCCTTTCGCAATCCAAATGGTTGGATGGACGAGGGCGAAGGCGGTGGTGATGCAAAGGGTGAAGGCTATCAAACGACCTCATTCAATGAATACGATGGAAGGTATCAGCAAGCCGATGCTATACGGTAAGTAATGTTATATAAATTAAAATTTTTTTTGTATTTTTTCGAACTTCTTGATTTTCATAACAACTCTTTCACTTATTATATAAATTAAATGATCTTGTTTGTTCCAGTTTAAATCTGATGGGGTCGATTGTAACTAAGTAGAGAATTTATAAAACATGTTCTAGTCTATTATTTTGTTTGACATACTTTTATTAGAAATATGTCATGTACCATATCAAAATTCAATTTTTATACCCTCCACCATAGTATGGAGGATATATTAATTTTGTCATTCCCTTTGTAACTCATCGAAATTTTCATTTCCGACCCTATAAAGTATATATATTCTTGATCAGGGTAAAATTCTAAGACGATCTAGCCATGTCCGTCCGTCTATCGGATAGACAGACGGTCGCTATCTTCTGAAGGAATAGAGATAGGGTGCTGGAATTTTGCATAGGTTTGTCTTTTATCTGCAGGCAAGTCAAGTTCGAAGATGGGATATATGGCTCCACGTTTAGGCATAGCTCACATATAACAGTACCCCCAATTTTCCGTATTTTAGGATTCTTGAGCGCGTTTTCAACCGAATATTTGGTACATTGAGTTCTTATTGGGTACTAAATGTCTCCACAAAAAATATAAATATAGGTCCACTTTTTCTGGTAAGCCCCATATAGCGGTACCTCCTAAATATCAGTATTTTGGGGGTTGTTATCGTATTTTTTCACCTAATTGGCTGTAATTTAGTATTTTGAATTCGTAATAGGTTCAAAATTTCTCCACAAAAAATTATAAATATAGGTCCATTTTTTCGGATAGCTCCCATATAAGGGTACCCCCAATTTTCGGTATTTTGGGGTTCTTGACTCGTTTTTCAACCAAATTGGCTGCAATTTGGTATTTTGTAGTCGTATATGGTAACAAATCTCCCTACCTTTTGGGGGTCGTCCCCAAAGGGGGCGACCACACTGTGGTACAGGGTATTATGTCTTTGTGCATATGTTTGTAACAGGCAAAAGGAAACGAGATATACACATGGTTCCTTTTGAGAATATGCATAGAATCACTTTTTAAGTCGATTTATGCATGTCCGTCCGTCCGTCTGTTAAATTGTAAACAAAGTACTGGTCGCATTTATTATCCGATTTGGATGAAATTTGGCACAGCTCACTTATTTGGCCCAAGGACGAACCCTATTGAAATTGGTTTCGTTATGGGAGCTATATCTAAATCGGTTTCGATTTAGATATAGCTCCCATATATATTTTCGTCCGATTTTATGTAAATGATGCATCAAAGCCCCTATATATCATTCGATTTGCACGGAATTTGACACAGCATACTGAATTAGGTCTAGAATGATGTGTGTTAAGTTTCCTAAAAATTGGACCAGATTTAGATATAGCTCCCATATATATTTTCGTCCGATTCAATGTAAATTGTGTACCAAAGTCCCTATATATCTTTCGATTTGCACGAAATTTGGCAAAGCGTAATGAATTAGGTCTACACTGATATGTGTTGAGTTTCCTGAATATCGGTCCAGATTTAGATATATCTCCCATATATATTTTCGTCCGATTTATTGTAAATGATGTACCAAAGTCCCTATATATCTTTCGATTTGCCCGAAATTTGGCATATCGTAATGAATTATGTCTAGAATGATGTGTATTAAGTTTCCTGAAAATCGGTCCAGATCTAGATATAGCTCCCATATATAATCGGTTTAGGTATATATATATATATATATATATACTTTATCTGTAGCAACTCTATATCTGACCAAATGAAAAAATTAGTAAAGGTTGCAGAATGACATGTTTATGGATCCATTTCCGTATTTGTGGTCCTTCAACGTCTGTTACGATTCATCTGTTGAATATACCCAAAGTGGTGAAGGGTATCATATAGTCGGCCCCGTCCGACTTTACTACTTTCCTTTCTGGTTTATTTTAAAACAGTTATATGATTTGTTCCGTGTTTGGGTTTGGTTCTGAGACTATGTTGTAATCATTTCATCTCATCAAAAAAAAACTAGAACATAAGATATCGATAATATTCATCTATATGAACTGTAACCGGCATTTAGGCCTAGCCCCTGTGTGGAAGGTACCAGAAGGAGTGGACCGATATTCCCCATGTTCGAACTTAAACTAAAGTTGGAAGAAATAATAAGATGGACAAAGTTTAGATGAAATTAAAATTTTTGAAACAAATTTCGTGCAACGAAACATGGGGTCTAGGACCAATATGTAGAACCATAATCGGTTTGTGGAATTGTCGGTATATGTACACTTTTTGGTATGTTCCCTATATTTTCATTTCTAGTACCTGTCAGTATATCTATGGTGGAGGCTATACAAAGTTCGGCCCGACCGAACTTAACGCTTTTTTACTTGTTTTTAATTCAGATGGAGTTAGTAATTGCCTTCGAATTTTTGTAGGAATATTTAATGCAATTAAATATATCGTGTCACGTCTGGGGTGTGGAAAATTCCTTATGGAGATTAAAACCTTTAGCGAGTCTGTTAGGAATTCAGAAGTAAATAAATTTATGGAAATTATTTTTGACGAATCCGAAAAACCTTATCTATTACCCGAGATAGAAGAAGATATATATATATATATACCCTCAGGCTATTGTTTGCGAAGGTCTACGGAATTTAACACAGAATTTATTAATCGCTTTATATAAGGTATTTTTACCAAAGAATTCACCATTTGTGGAGATGTACCAGAAGGGGTTGTTATATAGTCCCCATCTTCGGATTTGAAATAGGTTTTTACAAACAATATATGAAATCGGTTATTCAATTTAAAACCAGTGAGCGGAGCAGTATAGTCGGGCGGGGCCGATCATACGATACCCTACACAACTACCACGGAACTCAAATTTTCTGCGGATGTATATTCCGAGCCTGGGCAATATTTCGTGATATTTGCACCCTCTTGCCCGATTAGAGGTAAACAGCACCTCTTCCTCACACTGACATATTTTCCGAATATTACGAGTATTCAGTACAGCTATTGTCCAGATTCCCTTCACCGTGGGTTGTGTTGTGATGTCCGGCTTTCATTTGTGGTCTATAGATCGACTCGAAAAAAACACAAAAAATTAAGTTTACGGTCCACTTCATTCCAAAATTATTATCTGATCATCACCGAAAATTGTAGGCGTTGTCCTTGACCATAACTGGAACCTCATGGAACATTTTAAAGCGATCAGCGCTATAGCTCCGCTCTATAGAGTGATAATGGGTTACTAAATAATATACGAATACGGAGATACCTGTAAATATTTAGGTGTAACTCCCACATCCGATCACATACAACAATATAATTGGTATTAATTTAAAGGTCAACCACACCTCTTGGATATAATATAAACTTCTCGGGTCTATGTCCTTCAGGAGTAAATATATACGAAATAGAATACAAATTTTGTAATTTTTCACACAAAATTCAGAGTCCATTTGATTTAAATATTGACCAATCTTTATCAAAATATTCTTTGGCTCAATCCCCTTCTCCCTGTAAAAATTCGAGATGTTAGAGACCAGAAAAACCGACAAAAATTAAGTATTTGGTTCATTTCATCCCATTAATATTAACCGATCTTTATCAAAAACAATAGGGGTCTTCATTGGGCCGAACCCATCCTACATGTAAAATTTTGTGAAGATTGGTCCATAACTGTGGCTGGTATCGTGTTTACAAATTATAATGGACAGACGTACGGACGGACGGACACACATGTCTAGATCGACTCAGCTAGTCGAGATAAGATCGGTATACTTAAAGGTGAGTCTAGGACCTATATTTCAAGGCGTTACAAATTCTTGGGCCTGCACAAAGCTACAATACCCTGACAGCATAGTTGTGTAGGGTATAAAAATTAATTATGCAGTACTTACTATCCAACTGCACTACTATTTTATAGAACACATCTGTAGATCCCATATATATATTTTCGTTCGATTAAAGTAATTCGTCCATCCGTTTGACACGAAACTTACATGGGATAATGAACTGAGAATCGAAAGACTTGTATTCGATATATGTCCGATTTCGATATGGGTACTTGATTTCACTTACCATATTTATATTGATATTTATTTATTCATATTAATATTATTATAAACATATTCTCCTTTCCAGACAAGGCAGCATCGCTTCCGAAGGCAGTTCTTTCGTGTGCGAAGGTGAAGGTGGCGGTGGTTCGAAAATCGATGAAATGCAAGCCGCCTGGAACGTTACGAATGCTATACAGGGTATGTTTATTGTATCGCTGCCATTTGCCGTACTCCATGGCGGCTACTGGGCCATTATCGCCATGGTGGGCATTGCCTACATTTGCTGTTACACGGGAAAAGTGTTAGTGCAATGCCTCTACGAACCGGATCCAACTACGGGACAATTGGTGCGGGTACGTGATAGTTATGTATCGATTGCCAAGGTGTGCTTCGGACCCCAGTTGGGTGCAAAAGCAGTGAGTATGGCTCAATTGATTGAGCTGTTGATGACGTGCATTTTGTATGTGGTAGTGTGTGGCGATTTGTTGGCGGGCACATATCCCCAGGGATCGTTGGATTCGCGATCCTGGATGATGTTAGTTGGTATCTTTCTACTGCCAATGGGTTTCTTAAAATCTCTAAAGATGGTGTCACTGCTCTCCTTCTGGTGCACCATGTCGCATATTGTTATTAATGTGGTCATTTTGGGATATTGTATTCTGCAGATTGGTGATTGGGGTTGGTCCAAGGTCCGTTGGAGTATTGATTTTGAAAATTTCCCCATATCGTTGGGTGTCATTGTATTCTCGTACACATCACAGATATTCTTGCCCACACTGGAGGGCAACATGATTGATCGTTCCAAATTCAATTGGATGTTGGATTGGTCTCACATTGCCGCGGCCGCCTTTAAGGCCGGTTTTGGTTACATTTGTTTCTTGACCTTCCAAAATGATACACAACAGGTTATTACCAATAATCTGCACTCGCAGGGTTTTAAGGGTTTGGTTAATTTCTTTTTGGTCATCAAAGCCATTTTGAGTTATCCCCTACCCTATTATGCGGCCTGTGAGTTGTTGGAACGTAACTTCTTCCGTGGTCCACCAAAAACGAAATTTCCCACCATTTGGCATTTAGATGGGGAGTTGAAAGTTTGGGGTTTAGGTTTTCGTGTGGGTGTTATTGTTTCGACCATAATGATGGCCTGTTTTATACCTCACTTTTCGATTCTGATGGGTTTCATTGGCAGTTTCACGGGTACCATGTTAAGTTTCATTTGGCCATGTTATTTCCATTTGAAAATCAAGGGTCATCTATTGGATCAAAAGGAAATGGCCAAGGATTATATTATTATTGGGTTGGGGGTATTGTTTGGTGTTATTGGCATTTATGATTCGGGTAATGCTCTGATAAATGCCTTTGAAATTGGTCTTCCATTTTAAAGACGAGGAAGAAGAAGAAGTAGAAGAATAACAGATACAAAAATCACACAAATCTCAATTACAAAAATAATGTTAGTTTTTAAATTCGAACAAAAAAACAAATAATAAGAGAATTAAATATTATTATCATTTATAGCGAAATATATACATAAAGCATATATAAGAAAAAAAAAACACTATACAAATTATAGAACAAAATTATAACAAAAAAAAAAACTAATGCAACAAATGTCTTCCAACAAGAAATCAAAAAACAAAACAAACAGAATACTAATAATAATTAAACTTAAAAAGAAAATCGAAAATTGTCTTCCAAACAAAAACTCTAGTAAAAAATTAAGTAATTTTAAGTACGAAACATTTAATAAAAAATATATATATTTAACATAACAAAACTATATGCAGATAAATCAAGTCTTCCAAAACAATATTAATTGTAATTGTATTTATCTAATTAAACTATACAAATATTTATATAAAACAAAACTAACACACAAAATTTAACATAAAAAATGTATAACAAAAAACTTATCAAACCATAATAAACATTAATATTTTCTTAATTTTATTTTAAAATTAAAAAAAAATACGATAATATCCATGTCTTCCATTAAATAAAAAAATTGTTTTTTTTTTATTTTTTCTATTCGCCATTTTCCATAAAATTAAAAATGAATGTTTTTTTATTTATAACAAAAAATCATAGTTAGTTAGTTCTCCTTATTAACACAAATGATAATTTGCTAATTTTTATCAAAACAAATATACGATTATTGAAAGTTTCAAAAAAAACTCAAATTGTTTTATTTCATTTGCTAGGTATATATTCCTGCAGTTTTTTTCTCCTAATATATTCATCAATAAATATAATTAACTCAATCAATTATTAAAGAAATCCATTATTTAAATTTGCTATGTGATTTTAAATTAATAATTGAATAATTAATTCTTTGCGTTCAATTTCAATTTTTTTTTATTCAAAAACTATTTAAAACAGAATCCAGTACAGAATCTAGTACAGAATCCAAGTAATTATCTTATTCCAATTTTCCTTGAAGCATTTGAATGTGTGTTGTTTAGAAAGTGCCTAAAAGTATGCTATACATTGTCAATGTAATGTTCCCTGTTATTAGCAGAGATGTAAACAATAGTAGTGTTACTAACAACGACTACACAAACAACGAGCAAACACACACAAGCAAGCATGGCGTATGTTCAGTGTTGCCAATGACGACGTTTTATCAGCAATTAGATGATTTTTGATATTTCAACTTTAATACACTTTATAGATTCTATAATATAGAACCACCAATATCAAATAGAATATATTGTTTTCGGATTTATATTTGGAGTTATCTGTAAATCATATACTTTTAATTTAAATCACCTATAAACATACTAAATTGATTCAAATTCATTGGGGATTTTTTAGAAGAAAGAAAGAAAAATAAATTAAACACAAAATCTACTTAAAAAAATATTCTATGGAAAACTAAATTGACCCACTTTTTGCATATTTATCTTATAAATAATTTTCTTATAAATGATAATTTCTAGTAATCAGCAATATGTTTCAATTTTCAGCAATTTCAGCAATTTGTTTCAATTATGTTTCATTACAGCACCTAGGAGGCATTGAATCAATAAAAAGCTCAATTTGATCCTTGAGTATACAATTCCTTGCACCCTGCACTTTTGGGAAAAGGTGAATTATCAAACCGGGATTTTTGACGGTATATTTATTTCCGCGAAGGGAACTATAGCGTTTTTCTATACATATTTTGAAACAATCCGATCCATTACTTCATAAATCTCGTAAATATATCGAACTACATACAAAGAAAAACTGTCCAATACCATTTTTGATCCTCCACCATGCCTCCCAGTAATCTTGCAAGTCCAAAAATGAAAGGCATGTGCCTTTCATGTCTGAGTCTTTAATATTTAACTTTAATTTATCCGAGAGCAAAATATTTCTCCACAGAGTCGGATTCAAATTAATATGAGTTTCTGCGGAAGGAAATCTGGCATTCCGATTCTTTGCGCAATAAATGAACTTTCTTGATAGTTTCCGGACATGTTGGTCTGCTATCATAACTCGTTCCCGCTCTGTTCTTGAGGTTATAAAACGATTATTTAAAACGTTTATTACTCATCGATATAATCACCCTATAAAGTATATATATTTTTGATCAGCGTAAAATTCTATGATGATATTGCCATGTCCGTCTGTCTGTCTATTGTTATCACTCTAGCGTCTAAACGAATTGAGATAGATCGCCAACATTTTGCATAGAGTCGTCTTTTGTCTACAGGCAGGTCATGTTCGAAGATTGGCTTTATCGGTCTACGTTTGGGCATAGCTCCCATATAAGGGTACCCCCCAATTTTCGGTATTTTGGGGTTCTTGAGCGCGTTTTTCAACCGAATTCGCTGGAATTTTATACATTGGGTTCTTATTGGGTACCAAATATCTCCACTAAAAATTATAAATATCGGTCCATTTTTTCTGGTACCCCCCATATAACGGTACCTCCTAATTTTCTGTATTATGGGGGTTTTGATCGATTTTTTTTCGCCGAATTGGATGTAATTTAGTATTTTGAATTCTTAATAGGTAGCAAATCTCTCCACCAAAAATTATGAATATAGGTCAATTTTTTCGGATAGCCCCCATATAAGGGTACCCCCAATTTTCGGTAGTTTGGGGTTCTTGAGTGAGTTTTTCAACCGAATTTTCTGCAGTTTAGTATTTTGTATTCGTATATGGTAACAAATCTCCCCACCAAAAATTATTAATATTCGGCCCCTTTTAGGGGTAGTCCCCATATAACCCCCTTTTTTATATTGGAATAGTTATGCGATTTTTCCGCGCTTTTAGGCCTAGGCCTAGGGCATAAACGCTTTAACTGACGAGCCACTTCATATAGGCGGCCAAAATTTGTCTCACATGGTTTTGAATGTCAAAGCGAATAGTAGTATGGTCGATAAACGTTTGCATGGATATTTGGTACCCTATAGAGAACACTCCGTGCCAATTACGGCCAATATGATCGTAAAATGTGTCTAATAGACAATAAATACCTTAAATCGGGAGGTTCGGTTATATGGGGGCTATATCAACCCATTTCCAATACCAGTAGTTGTATTGACAGAAAAACCATCTGAGGCAAATTTTGGCAGCGTATGTCAAGTTGTTCGCCAGATAATATATTTATAATACAATTTATGGGTAAATACTCGGGTATTTACCCACGTCTTTACAGTTCTGTAAAACTATCCATTTTAAATCGATTTGATAACAGAAATCGGGAAATAGATTGAAAGATGTTGTATTACCGATTAAATATAGTTAACACCCAAATAAATATCCACAAATGTGTATTTACCCACTGCCTATCTCTAATAATGGGTCGAAAATGAACAAATTAAGAAGGAGTCTGCCAAAGTGGGTCTGGTTGTTGTTGTAACAGGTTGGCTGTTGATGAAAGTTCTTTCCTGAAAAATGTTGATAGAAAAAGAAAACGGAAGAAGGAAAAGGAAAATATATTAATTAATTATTATGAATTCGGATTTGAAGAGGATAGCCGGAGAAATTGTGCCACCTCTATTGGCTTTAGCCATAAGTCTACGGACAATAGACTGGTAGGCTCGGTCGGACAATTGAATTGAATTGTGTGTCGTGAGGGATTTGCTGGCAGGAGGGACACCTGTTTAGGGTTCCGGGGACAATGCGCTCTCGATACGAGTTAAGTACATTGCGGTATCCGGACCTTAGTTGTGCCAGAATTGAACGGGTTTGCCTAGGAAAAAACCTCTCACTCTCCGAAATTGCAGGAGAATGTTGTTGTAGGAATTTATTGCATCTGTTGCCATTTATGGCTTCGGAGACCACCAGTTGATGCACGGATTTCATCGCGTTCACTATCGACAATTTGTTGACGTCCGATGGAATGAAGTCTTGGATGTCATCACGATAGCGCCTCAAGTCCTGGCGGATGTGTCGCAGAGGTGGATCTACCATCACTATGTGATGGTTAGCATGCCAGCAAGAACTGTCTAGTCAACACATTATGTTGCTTGACTGACAGCATCCTGGTCACCTCATGGAGGTGATCGACGCTCGTCATCTAGACACAGCCGGTTGTAATTCGGAGTGCATTATTTTGGGTTGTTTGCAAGGATCTCCATTGTGTGTCGCTAAGGAAAGAAGTTCAGACTGGGGCAGCATAATTCAGGATGGAACGACCTATAGCCTTATAAGTCGTTACCAACGTTTCTTTATCCTTGCCCCAGGAGGTGCCAGCCAAAGCTTTCAGAACTTTATTCCTAGCTTTCACCTTCCGGTTGATGTTATTGGAATGCGAGGAGAAATGAAGGAGGCTATCGAAGACCACCCCAAGGATGGATGGTGGGAATGCGCCTACCTTCAATGGAAATGTCAAGTTCTAGATTGACCCTCGCGTCCAGGAAGTCGAAAAGTGACACAGTATACTTTGCAGTGGATAATTTTAGATTGCGCTCCCGGAAGAAGTTGGTGATGGTGGCTAAATAGTTGGAAATTCTTGCACTTACGTCATCAGTGCTAACGCCGGACGAAATAATTGTACAGTCATCGGCGTACGACACCACTGAAACATCTGGTGGAGGAATGGGGGGTTTCGCAAGGTACATGTTGAACAAAATGGGAGATAGAGAATTGCCTTGCGGTACTCCCATTTTGATCTTGCGATATTTCTTGCAAAGCCGTTGTTGTGCTATATGATTCCCTGAAACCGTGTTGGTGGGGAGCAAGAACGAAATTCTGTTTCAGGGACGAAAGCAATAGAGACCCTAAAACCTTGGCTACTGGTGACAGAAGAGAAATCGGGCGGTAGCATTCCCCATTAGTAGCGGATTTATCAGGTTTTAGGATTGGAATAAACCGGGTCACTTTCCAAATGTCAGGAATTACCAACTGTGACATCGATAACTCGAGGACTTTGGTCAGATAGCCCAGCCCATTGCTCCAAGCTTCTTTAACATAAACATAGATATGCCGTCTGGACCAAGGGCTTTGGATGGCTTGGACTTAATGATAGTGGCTGGATGTAAATGATAGTGGCTGTAAGTCTCTTTTTAGATTCTTGGATCTCCGGATAACTGCTAGCTTAGTCCTGTTCTGCGAATATGGATGCTCAATGAATTGGCGGCAGAACTGCAATGCACATTTTTTGGCATCAGAATGTTGAATGTTATGGAAGGAAATAGCAGGGAGATTTTTATTTCATTTGTAATCAGATAGACTCTTAATTGAGGACCATAGCTGCTTGAAATTTATATTGCAGTAGTTAAGGAATTCTAACAATTTAAAGCGCATGTGCTCAAGGACTAGAGCATCTATTTCAGCGCTAAGCTGCGGAGTTGGTCGCGTTCCTGTGCCAATCTGGATGCCCTGGATGAATAATTTGGTCTCATTAGAGGAATTCTGCCCGCCTTTAGAATAATTTCTCGGAAAATCTTCTCACCCTTTCTGGCACATACGGGTGGCGACATAGGACTTAAGGAGTCCTCAAGGAATTTTGTGACGCCGTGCCAGTTGGCTTTATTATAATTTCTCTACCATGGCCAGGATGGGAATATGGTCTGAATTTAAAGCGACCTTGGTTTGTCAGGAAGTGTATGGAAGGAGCGATGGACTGACAATGGAAATGTCCGGAGAGTTCGAACACCTGGCAGTGACTCTGGTAGAGGATTCCTCATCGATGGAAGCGAAATCGGACTCGTCTATTTATTTAAGTCTCTTTTAAGATTTTTGGATCTCCGGATAACTGCTAGCTTGGTCCTGTTCTGCGAATATGGATGCTCAATGAATTGGCGACAGAACTGCAATGCACATTTTTTGGCATCAGAATGTTGAATGTTATCGAAGGATAGCAGGGAGATTTTTATTTCTTTTGTAATCAGATAGACTCTTAATTGTGGACCATAGCTGCTTGGAATTTATATTGCAGTAGTTAAGGGGTTCTAACAATTTAAAGCGCCTGTGCTCAAGGACTAGAGCATCTAGAGCGTTGCTGTGCCAATCTGGATGCCCTGGATGAATAATTTGGTCTCATTAGAGGAATTCTGACCACTTTTAGAATAATTTCTCGGAAATCTTCTCCCCCTTTCTGGCACATACGGGTGGCGGCATAGGACTTAAGGAGTCCTCAAGGAATTTTGTGAAGCCGTGCCAGTTGGCTTTATTATAATTTCTCTACCGTGACCAGGATGGAAATATGGTCTGAATTTAAAGCGACCTTGGTTTGTCAGGAAGTGTATGGAAGGAGCGATGGACTGACAATGGAAATGTCCAGAGAACTCGAACACCTGGCAGTGACTCTGGTAGAGGATTCCTAATTGATGGAAGCGAAATCGGACTCGTCTATCTGGTTTGCAATAAGAACACCGCGAGGATCATTTGGATGTTGAGAATACCATATCTCATGATGAGCGTTGAAATCACAAGAAAAATTTTATTATATCCCAGCAGCAGATGGATGATGCTTGGATGATAACTAGCCCCAATGCTGTTGACGGGCAGAATATATACATTGACAATTCCAATTTCAGAATCATCGGAATGAACTGAAATGCTTAAAACCTCCAGGAAAGGATCAGACTGGGAAGGAGACGGAGGGGTAGTCAGGGTATATCTGACATCTCGCTGGATGATGAATGCGAGACCCCCACCATAGTCTCTATCTGTGTCTCGCTGAATGATGTTGTAATTCCCGGAGGTGGATAAGGAACAACTGCTGGTCAGCTTCGTTTCTTGAAAGCCAGCAATGAGGATGTTGTTTTCATGCATAAAGTTTGTGATCTCAATTACCTTATTCCTAAGACCTTTACAATTAAATTGCATGATTAGGAATGAGGTATTTGGATCAATCCCCTGCATGGACTGCTGCTGTAGAGGCAGGCGGGTGGAGTTATTCGGCGAACGGAAAAACTGCCTGTAACGCTGTTGTCTGGATGGGAAGTTTTGAGCATTCGTTGTTGGAATAGGATGACTAGAAGGAGTGCTAGTCGGAACACTAGAATGAATTCTACTCGATGAACAATTCAAATTAAAACACAACATTTTTGTTTATTTTCACATTTCAAAAAAATAGTTATTGTTATTTATTTTCGAGCAGTGTTGGTTTTTGTTTTTTGTTCATTATAATTAATACATAATAATTGTTGTTGGTTTCTTTATGAATGTATAAAAATATGTATGTAGTAAAATTTATATAGATATATTAAAAAAATGTAGTTGTATTATGCGTTTGTTTGTCGATTAGTACAATACGGAAATAATTGAGAAAAATTATTAAAGAAAAAAAAACAATATTTGTTGCTGTGTGTATACATGTATATAAAAAATTATAACAATTAAAAAAATAATAATATGGATTGTATTATCATCAACATTAAAAAAAAGTATTGATTTTTATTTCGCTTCGCTTTATGGAATGGCTCATATATTGTAAACATATGAGAGTGGAAAAACATTAACAATTTGAAATCTTAAACCCCGTAGATAATTAATATATCCATTGGCTTTATTGCCTTTTTCTTATAATGTTTCCTGATGGCGATTTTTTTTTTTTTGAGGTTTAAGAGTTATCATCAGCCTAAAATATATTTATATACTTGTTGTTGTATTATGTTAATATATTATGTTACACATACTTATATAATTACAGATTATTTCTTTTTTATTATTTAGTATTAGTTGTTGTTATTGTTTTTGTTTTTACTTGGTAGTTTTGAAAAATTTATTCTCTTGAGTATCCCTAGATTGTTGGAATGCACCTTGTGTTATTTTATGCACAGCACAGGAGGAGATGGCGGATTTGGAGGTGGTGGTTGTGACCGGAATTGTTTTATATTCCATTTTATAATTACTGGAAATCGACGACGATGAACCCGAATCACCTAACGAAAATGACGACTGATTACCACGATGCCGTGTCACCACCCGCTCGGTTGTCCTATACGAGGGGAAATCTGCAGCACTTGTGGTCGTGTGGTGATGATGATGCAAGGCGGACGTATTGGAGGCGCTCTTATTACTCTGTTGAATTTCCTTTGTTTCACGATGTATGGCAGTGTGACTACGACGTTCGCCGGCATTGTGCACAACACACGAACTATTACCACCCTCAGCTTCGACCTTCTGACGATGTAAACTGCTATAGCTTTGTCTCTCACTGGGGAACCATGAACTCGAGGGCTGTTCATTTAGATTCAGGATACTCTTACGATGTATCTTGGCATTGGAAGAGAGGCTACCAATTTGCTGGGATTCCTGGGGTGTCGCTTTACGCTGGAGAATGCTATTCGCGACATTCGATTCGGAGGAGAATTCCGTTTTGCGATGATGGAATTGTTTACTGCTTGACATGGTGGAGGAAGAGGTGGTGGCATTACTACTCTGTGTAATGTTGGAACTGATATTGGACTTTGAGGAAGAGGTCTGTAAAACGTGGCCATTTTCTCCACCATTTCTGGTTATTTTGGAGCTGACATTATAGCTATCATTGGTTCCACCTCCACCACTAATCAAACTCTTCATATCGGAGCCACTGCCATTACGTTGATTAACATTTGTAACCCGACGTGTTGTGGTCATGGTGGAACCTTCGGTGTGGGTTTTACTACTCGATGAGGTTATCTTGCTGGCCAAGCATGTCGACTCCTTGTCGGTGTGTTGGGTAACAGTTGAGGTCACAGTGCGGCTGCCACCACCCTTAATTATGGTACTGCCATTAACACCGTTCTGGTGGCTACTAACCTCACTGCTAATATGTTTGCCCTCACTATTGGCTGCAGTGCTGGTGATGGTACTATTTTTATTTATTTGTTGTTGTTGTAGCAAATTCCTTTGCACCACTGGGCAAGTTTCATTATGTACAATATTCCGATGGACATGGGTATGGTTACCACTCTCATCATGATGATGATGGTGGTGGTGATGATGATGTTGATGCTGACGATTCGTAACATCGCTCTGTATAACATTTCGGTTAACAACATTTGTGCTACTAACATCGTTGATATCCTGCTGTTGGATACTCTTCCTGGCGGTGCTAATACGATTCTGTGTCATCGACACCTCTTCATTGTGGATATTTTCCACATTTTTAATATTCTTCATCGTGGTGGATTTCTCCACATTTTCAATAACATTAACCTTGCCCTGACGTCGCACGTACTGGGTTTCTGGTTCCTTCTTATTTTTGCTGCCAATAACAGTCGTGACTCTCTTCGTGGAGACAATAACCATACCATCAGCCGGTTTTTGAGTATTCAAATCTGCCACAGGCACAGCATTTTTACCCGAAGCATAGCTAATTTGATTTGTGGTCTTCAGGATCGATGTGTCCGAACCCAGGCTAATCGATGAACTGTTGTGTACCACCTTCTTGGTTTGACGTACAGTTGTGGCCGTGTGATCGGTCTTGGTTTGATTCTTGCGCGTAATTTCCATAGTTCCCTCCATTTTCAGGTTATCCACTGGTCTCTTGGGTGTTACGCGATCCACAACATCCTTGGGACCCGCATCCTTCTCCTTCTTATAGAATTCACCCTCAGGCTTAAGATTGTCACTGGGTTTGATTGGTGTCGGCCTCTTGACATATTGATAGGTGTCCTTTTGCTCAAAGGTCATTTCACCCTCGGTACGCAAATTATCCTTGCGCACAATGCGCTGCACCCTTTCGGCCGGTTTGTAGCCAGGTTTTTCTGGTGTCACAAATTCTCCTTCAGGTTTCAAATTATCAACCGGTTTCTTGGCCACAGGACGTTCGCCAGGTTTGAAACCTTGCTTCTCGGGCGTGTAGAAATCACCTTCCGGCTTAAGATTGTCCGAGGGTTTCTTAGCTACAGGTCGTTCGCCAGGTTTGAAGCCAGGCTTCTCGGGCGTGTAGAAATCACCTTCAGGCTTAAGATTATCCTCATGGCGCACCTGTTTGGGTCTTTCACCAGCCACATATTTGGTTTTCTCCACAAAGGTCATTTCACCCTCGGTACGTAAATTATCCTTGCGTATCACCTTTGTCGTCCTTTCGGCTGGTTTATAACCTGGTTTCTCCGGTACGGTGAATTCTCCCTCAGGTTTCAAATTGTCCTGAGGTTTCTTCTGCACCGGTCTCTCAGCAGGTTTGTAACCTGGTTTTTCTGGGGCATAAAATTCTCCTTCCGGCTTGAGATTATCCTTGAACTTAACGGGTTCTGGACGTTTGACATGTTTGTATTCTTCTTTCTCCACAAATGTCATTTCACCCTCGGTACGCAAGTTATCCTTTTGTATAATTTTTTTCGTACGTTCGCCAGGTTTGTAGCCTGGTTTCTCGGGAGTATAGAAATCACCTTCTGGTTTCAGATTATCCTTGGGCTTCTTAACCAACGGTTTTTCGGCAGGTTTGAAACCTGGTTTCTCGGGTGTATAGAAGTCACCTTCGGGTTTCAAATTATCCTCCGGTTTCTTTTGCACAGGTCTCTCGGCAGGTTTGTAACCTGGTTTCTCCGGCGTAAAGAAATCGCCTTCAGGTTTCAAATTATCCTCAGGTTTAACAGGTTGTGGCCTCTTAACATATTTATATTCCTCCTTCTCAACAAAGGTCATCTCACCCTCGGTGCGTAAATTGTCCTTGCGAATAATACGTTCTGTTTTCTCGGCTGGTTTGAATTGTGTCTTTTCTGGGCGAACAAAATCACCCTCGGTTTTGAGATTATCCTTAGGTTTCTTTGGAACCACCTTTTCGGCAGGTTTATAACCTGGTTTTTCTGGAGAATAAAATTCTCCTTCCGGTTTCAAATTATCCTCAGGGCGTACTTGTGATGGCCTTTCGCCAGGACGGAACTTTGGTTTTTCCGGAGCATAGAATTCGCCCTCTGGTTTCAGATTATCCGTTTGTTTGACCGGTTCTGGACGTTTGACATATTTGTATTCCTCCTTTTCGACAAATGTCATTTCACCCTCGGTGCGCAAATTATCCTTGCGAATGACCTTCTGAGTCCGTTCAGCTGGTTTATAGCCTGTTTTTTCTGGGGTATAGAATTCACCTTCAGGTTTCAAGTTGTCTTCGGGTTTCTTCTGTACGGGTCTTTCAGCTGGTTTATAGCCAGGCTTCTCTGGTGCATAGAAATCGCCTTCTGGTTTAAGATTATCTTCAGGTTTCTTTTGTACAGGCCTTTCAGCTGGTTTATAACCAGGCTTCTCTGGAGCATAGAAATCGCCTTCTGGTTTTAAGTTGTCCTCTGGTTTCTTCTGCACTGGTCTCTCCGCCGGTTTATATCCAGGCTTTTCAGGTGTATAGAAATCGCCTTCTGGTTTGAGATTATCCTCAGGTTTCTTCTGCACTGGTCTTTCAGCTGGTCGATATCCAGGTTTCTCTGGCGTATAGAAATCACCCTCAGGTTTAAGATTATCCTCATGACGAATTTGACTAGGCCTTTGGCCGGGCTGGAATTTTGGTTTCTCAGGAGAATAGAAATCACCTTCAGGTTTAAGATTATCCTCAGGCTTCTTCTGCACAGGTCTTTCAGCTGGACGATATCCAGGCTTTTCGGGAGCATAGAAATCACCCTCAGGTTTAAGATTATCCTCGGGTTTCTTTTGTACAGGTCTTTCGGCTGGACGATAGCCAGGCTTCTCAGGAGTATAGAAATCACCTTCGGGTTTCAAATTGTCCTCAGGTTTTTTCTGTACCGGCCTTTCTGCAGGCTTGAAGCCAGGTTTCTCTGGGGTATAGAACTCGCCTTCAGGTCTGAGATTATCTTCAGGACGTACTTGTTCCGGTCTCTTAACATAGGTATATTCGTCCTTTTCCACAAATGTCATTTCACCCTCGGTGCGAAGATTATCCTTGCGAATAATTCTTTCCACCTTTTCGGCAGGTTTATATGATGGTTTGTCCGGCACAGTGAATTCACCCTCGGGTCTCAAATTATCTTCTGGTTTCTTAGCAACCGGCCTTTCGGCAGGTTTATAACCAGGCTTTTCAGGAGTATAGAAATCACCTTCCGGCTTCAAATTATCTTCTGGTTTCTTTTGAACGGGTCTTTCAGCAGGACGATATCCGGGTTTTTCGGGAGTGTAGAAATCACCCTCAGGCTTAAGATTATCTTCAGGACGAACTTGACTGGGTCTTTCTCCCGGTTGATATCTGGGTTTCTCTGGGGTGTAGAAGTCACCTTCTGGTTTAAGGTTATCTTCTGGTCTGACCTGAGATGGTCGCTCGCCAGGCAAGAATTTGGGTTTTTCGGGAGCATAAAATTCACCTTCGGGCTTCAAGTTGTCACCGGGTTTAACAGGCTCAGGCCGTTTAACATATCTATATTCCTCCTTCTCGACAAATGTCATCTCACCCTCGGTACGCAGATTATCTTTCCTAATAATAACTTCTGTTCTTTCAGCTGGACGATAGCCTGGCTTTTCTGGAGTGTAAAAGTCACCTTCAGGTTTGAGATTATCCTCTGGTTTCTTCTGCACAGGCCTTTCAGCTGGCCTATATTCAGGTTTGTCTGGCACTGTGAACTCACCCTCTGGCCTTAGATTATCTTCCGGACGAACTTGAGATGGTCTTTCACCTGGCCTGTATTTTGGTTTCTCTGGAGTATAGAAATCACCTTCTGGCTTCAGATTATCTTCAGGTTTCTTCTGTACCGGTCTCTCGGCAGGTTTATATCCTGGTTTTTCTGGAGTATAGAAATCACCCTCAGGTTTGAGATTATCTTCAGGCTTCTTCTGAACTGGTCTTTCGGCTGGACGATAGCCAGGCTTCTCAGGAGTATAGAAATCACCCTCAGGTTTGAGATTATCCTCAGGTTTCTTCTGTACAGGTCTTTCAGCTGGCCTGAAACCTGGTTTTTCCGGGGTGTAGAATTCTCCTTCTGGTTTCAAATTGTCCTCAGGTTTCTTCTGTACTGGTCTTTCTGCTGGTCTGAACCCGGGTTTCTCTGGGGTATAGAATTCTCCCTCAGGTTTCAGATTATCCTCCGGACGAACTTGAGATGGACGTTCTCCAGGCATATATTTAATCTGTTCGGGAACATAGAAACTTCCTTCTGGCTTCAGATTGTCCTCAGGCTTCTTCTGAACTGGTCTCTCGGCAGGTCTATATTCCGGTTTATCTGGTACTGTAAATTCGCCCTCTGGCCGAAGATTATCTTCTGGGCGAACCTGTGATGGCCTTTCACCTGGCATAAATTTAGGCTTCTCGGGTGCGTAGAATTCTCCTTCGGGTCTCAAATTATCCTCAGGCTTCTTTTGAATTGGTCGTTCTGCTGGTCTATAACCAGGTTTCTCAGGAGTGTAGAAATCGCCTTCTGGTTTCAGATTGTCTTCTGGACGGACTTGTTCCGGTCTCTTGACATACGTGTATTCTTCCTTTTCGACAAATGTCATTTCACCTTCGGTTCGGAGATTATCCTTTCTTACTATGCGTTCAATCTTCTCAGCTGGTCTGAACTCTTGCTTCTCAGGTGCGTAGAATTCACCCTCAGGCTTAAGATTGTCTTCAGGTTTCTTCTGAACCGGTCTCTCAGCTGGTCTGTAACCAGGTTTTTCTGGAGTATAGAATTCACCTTCTGGTCTTAGATTATCTTCGGGACGAACTTGGCTGGGCCTTTCACCAGGCATAAATTTCATTTGTTCAGGGACATAGAAATCACCTTCAGGTTTCAGATTGTCTTCCGGTCTCTTTTGAACAGGTCTTTCAGCAGGTCTGTAACCAGGCTTCTCAGGAGTATAGAAATCACCTTCGGGTTTCAGATTGTCCTCAGGTCTCTTCTGTACAGGCCTTTCAGCTGGCCTATACTCAGGCTTGTCAGGTACAGTAAATTCACCCTCAGGTCTGAGATTATCTTCGGGGCGAACTTGAGATGGTCTTTCACCTGGCATGAACTTGGGTTTCTCTGGAGTATAGAATTCACCTTCTGGTTTCAGGTTATCTTCAGGTTTCTTTTGAACAGGTCTCTCAGCTGGTTTGTAGCCAGGCTTTTCTGGAGTATAGAAATCACCTTCTGGCTTGAGATTATCTTCAGGTTTCTTCTGAACAGGCCTTTCAGCTGGACGATAGCCTGGTTTTTCAGGAGTATAGAAATCACCTTCGGGTTTCAGATTGTCCTCAGGTTTCTTCTGTACAGGTCTTTCAGCTGGCCTATACTCAGGCTTGTCAGGCACAGTAAACTCACCCTCTGGTCTGAGATTATCTTCTGGGCGAACTTGAGATGGTCTTTCACCTGGCATAAATTTAGGTTTCTCTGGAGCGTAGAAATCACCCTCCGGTTTGAGATTATCTTCAGGTTTCTTCTGTACTGGTCTCTCGGCAGGTCTATATTCAGGTTTGTCGGGCACAGTAAATTCACCCTCTGGACGGAGATTGTCTTCCGGACGGACTTGAGATGGTCTTTCGCCTGGCAAGAATTTTGGCTTCTCTGGAGTGTAAAACTCTCCTTCGGGTTTCAGATTATCTTCCGGTTTCTTCTGAACAGGTCTTTCAGCAGGTCTGTAGCCAGGCTTTTCCGGCGCATAGAAATCACCCTCAGGTTTGAGATTATCTTCTGGTTTCTTTTGAACAGGTCTCTCAGCTGGTCTATAGCCTTGTTTTTCCGGTGCATAGAAGTCACCCTCGGGTTTCAGATTATCTTCGGGGCGTATTTGTTCTGGCCTCTTTACATATGTGTATTCTTCCTTTTCGACAAATGTCATTTCACCTTCGGTGCGCAAATTATCCTTTCGTATAATACGTTCAGTCTTTTCCGCAGGTCTATATCCAGGTTTTTCGGGTGTGTAGAATTCACCTTCGGGTTTAAGATTATCCTCTGGTTTCTTTTGCAGCGGCCTTTCGGCTGGTCTGAATTCGGGTTTTTCGGGAGCATAGAATTCACCTTCCGGTTTAAGGTTGTCCTCCGGTTTCTTTTGTTGTGGCCTCTCTGCTGGACGATAGCCCGGTTTTTCCGGTGTGTAGAAATCACCTTCAGGTTTCAGATTATCCTCGGGTCGCACTTGATCTGGTCTGCGCACATATTGGTATTCTTCCTTTTCAACAAACGTCATTTCACCTTCAGTGCGCAAGTTGTCTTTACGAATAATGACTTCTGTCCTTTCAGCAGGCTTGTATGTTGGCTTATCGGGAACAGTGAATTCACCCTCCGGTTTAAGATTGTCCTGTGGCTTCTTCTGTTCTGGTCTTTCTGCTGGTCTATAACCAGGTTTCTCAGGAGTGTAAAATTCGCCTTCTGGCCTTAAATTATCCTCTGGTCGTACTTGACTGGGCCTTTCTCCTGCCATATATTTTGGCTTCTCCGGAGCATAAAAGTCGCCTTCAGGCTTGAGATTATCCTCGGGTTTCTTTTGAACCGGTCTTTCTGCTGGTTTGTAACCTGGTTTCTCTGGGGTATAGAAGTCACCTTCAGGTTTCAGATTATCCTCTGGCTTCTTTTGAACTGGACGTTCAGCAGGACGATATCCAGGTTTCTCGGGAGTGTAGAAATCGCCTTCAGGTTTGAGATTATCTTCTGGTTTCTTTTGAACTGGACGTTCAGCAGGACGATATCCAGGTTTCTCGGGAGTGTAGAAATCACCTTCGGGCTTAAGATTATCCTCAGGTTTCTTTTGAACTGGACGTTCAGCAGGACGGTATCCCGGTTTCTCGGGGGTGTAGAACTCACCTTCAGGTTTGAGATTATCTTCTGGACGAACTTGTTCTGGTCTCCTGACATAGGTGTACTCTTCCTTTTCTACAAATGTCATTTCACCCTCTGTCCGTAGATTATCCTGCCGAATAATACGTTCGGTCTTTTCAGCAGGTCTATATGTGGGTTTGTCTGGAACAGTGAATTCTCCCTCTGGTCTTAAGTTATCCTCCGGTCGTTTGGCAACGGGCCGCTCAGCAGGACGATATCCAGGCTTCTCAGGAGTATAGAAATCTCCCTCAGGTCTTAAATTATCCTCTGGTCGTACTTGACTGGGTCTTTCTCCTGCCATATATGTTGGCTTCTCGGGAGCATAAAAGTCGCCTTCAGGCTTGAGATTATCCTCGGGTTTCTTTTGAACAGGCCTTTCTGCTGGTTTGTAACCTGGTTTCTCCGGAGTATAGAAGTCACCTTCGGGCTTCAAATTATCCTCTGGCTTCTTCTGAACGGGTCTTTCGGCTGGACGATATCCAGGCTTCTCTGGAGTATAGAAGTCACCTTCAGGTTTCAAATTATCTTCAGGCTTCTTCTGAACAGGTCTTTCTGCTGGACGATAACCAGGTTTCTCTGGGGTGTAGAAATCTCCCTCTGGTCTTAAATTATCCTCAGGACGAACCTGTTGTGGCCTTACGACATACTGATATTCTTCTTTCTCCACAAAAGTCATTTCACCCTCAGATCGAAGATTATCTTTGTGAATAATTCTTTCAGTTCTTTCAGCCGGGCGATACTGAGGCTTCTCGGGTGTTGTAAATTCTCCTTCTGGCTTGAGATTATCTTGAGGCCTTTTTTGAACGGGTCTTTCGGCCGGTCTAAAGCCAGGCTTTTCTGGTGCGTAAAACTCACCCTCAGGACGAAGATTGTCCTCTGGCCGAACCTGTGTTGGTCTCTCGCCGGGCTTGTATTTTGGTTTTTCTGGAGCATAGAAGTCACCTTCTGGTCTGAGATTATCCTCTGGTCGCTTTTGTTCCGGTCTCTCGGCTGGACGATAACCAGGTTTCTCGGGGGTATAAAATTCTCCTTCAGGGTGAAGATTGTCCTCAGGACGCACCTGAGATGGCCTTTCACCTGGTTTGTATTTAGGTTTTTCTGGTGCATAGAACTCACCCTCAGGGCGAAGATTGTCCTCAGGTCTCTTTTGCTCGGGTCTTTCAGCGGGACGATAACCCGGCTTTTCAGGTGTATAGAAATCACCTTCAGGACGAAGATTGTCTTCAGGTCTCTTCTGTTGTGGCCGTTCAGCTGGTCTGTAGCCGGGCTTTTCGGGAGTATAAAACTCTCCCTCTGGGCGTAAGTTATCTTCATGGCGTACCTGAGTTGGTCTTTCACCCGGCTTGTAGTGGGGTTTCTCTGGAGCATAGAACTCTCCCTCTGGACGTAAATTGTCTTCCGGCCTCTTTTGTTGTGGTCGTTCAGCTGGGCGGTATCCCGGTTTTTCGGGTGTATAGAAATCACCTTCAGGTTTCAAATTGTCTTCGGGTTTCTTTTGCTGAGGTCTTTCGGCAGGTCTGAAGCCTGGTTTTTCGGGGGTGTAGAAATCACCTTCCGGCTTGAGATTGTCTTCGGGTTTCTTTTGTTGAGGTCTTTCAGCTGGACGGAATCCTGGTTTTTCTGGCGTATAAAATTCACCTTCAGGCCTTAGATTATCCTCAGGACGAACTTGACTTGGGCGTTCTCCTGGTTTATACTGCAGTTTTTCGGGGGTATAGAAATCACCTTCTGGTTTGAGATTGTCTTCGGGTCTCTTCTGCTGTGGCCTTTCCGCAGGTCTGAAACCAGGTTTTTCGGGAGTATAGAAATCACCTTCTGGCTTGAGATTATCCTCTGGCTTCTTTTGGACAGGTCTTTCGGCTGGTCTAAAACCAGGCTTTTCAGGCGCATAGAAATCCCCTTCTGGTTTCAAATTATCCTCAGGTTTCTTTTGAACAGGTCTCTCAGCTGGGCGATAACCAGGCTTCTCTGGGGTGTAGAAATCTCCTTCCGGTTTCAAATTATCTTCTGGTCGTTTTTGTTGAGGTCTTTCGGCCGGTTTGTAGCCTGGCTTTTCTGGTGTGTAGAATTCACCCTCGGGTTTCAAATTATCCGGCCGCAAAACTGGTTCTGGCCTTGATACATATTTGTATTCCTCCTTTTCGACAAAAGTCATTTCTCCCTCGGTACGAAGATTGTCGGTATGTATTACCCGTTCAACACGTTCCGCAGGACGATAACCTGGTTTGTCGGGTGCATAAAATTCTCCCTCTGGCTTGAGATTATCTTCGGGTTTCTTTTGTTGTGGCCTCTCGGCTGGACGATAACCTGGTTTTTCAGGTGTATAGAATTCACCTTCGGGACGTAAATTATCGCCCGGCTTAATGGGTACTGGTCTTTCGGATGGACGATATTCCTCCTTTTCCGGCTTATAGAATTCACCTTCAGGCTTCAGATTGTCATAGGGTCGCACTGGTTTAGTTCTAACGATATATTCGTATTCTTCATTCTCAAGAATAGTCGTATCCTGGGTAAAACGATCCGTATAGCGATCGTTGGGACCTTCTGGCAGTGGTTTGGTGGGAGAGTCCTTGGGACCTTTTCTGATTGTGGTTAGAGATTCATTTTTCTCATAGTCATCTTTGGACCATGTATTGGTGCGTATTCTAGTCTCAACATTGTCAACCATATCTGTAGAATGGCGAGAGAGAGAGAGAGTAATTAGACTTTGTTTTCAAGAGCAAGAGTTTTGATCTTACCCAACGATTCTGTTAGGGAATCCGTTTTAGTTGTGGTTGTTGTGTCACTGGTTGTACAATGATGACGCCTAAAATTGAAAACAAATTAATTTTACAGATTTCTGTAATAAAGTGCTGTTCTATATCTTGCAACCTACCCACAAGTACAGATCTCACAGATACACATTTCAGTGTGTGTGCTTTTCCACTTGTCGACTCCATCCTAAGAGAGAAACATATGATTAATATGATTACATATTTAGTGACATGGCAGCTGCTGCCACTTACTTTTCGTGAATCGATTGTTTTCTTATTCTTATTGACGATCTGTAGCCTCTCGTCCGTTTCATCGTAGATATTTTCCGTTATATCCTTACGCTTGGAGGTCTTATTCAAATTGTATTCCATATTTTCATTTTCCTCCAGAATTTTGGAATTCTTTTCGATTTCCACAAACTCATCGATGTAAACGGTCTTTTTCGGTGTCTCGACAATCTTTTCAATGACATCGGTGCGTGTCTTCTCATCCAAAACGCGCCAGTCATTAATACTTGCATCGTAAATCTGAAAAAAGAGAGGCGATGATTGTTGTTACTGAATGAAGTATAAAGTAAAGTTTCCCAAACTTAAAAAAATAGGTAGCTAGCTAATATTGTGGCTCCAGGTATTGTAGGATTCGAACCCTGGAGTTGCTATACGAACTTCTAAAAAATCGCTTATTTATATCATAAAACCAATCGGGTAATACAAATTGTTCTATATCTCAGTATCCTGAGGACAAACTTAATTTCATAATATTCGAAAATTACATTACTGAATTAGCTAATTCTGAATCGAATTGAAATTCGACTTTAAACATGACTTTAGCGGCTTGGCCTTTTGGTACAGGTCCTTGTTTATGTATAGCCCTCATATGACAAAACCTTCCGATTTTTGGTAATTTTAATGTTTTGGACGCTTTTTTCAAACGACGAGATTATATTTTGACATTTGGGTTCCCTATCCAGAATTATCGATAATCATCCAATCTTAGTTATAGCCTTCTACCAATATTCGGTACTTTTTATTCCTTTGGATACAAATGGGCTAGTATTTAATATTTTTGATTCTCATTTGGGCAGAAAATCTCCCCAAAAACAATAACCAATATTAGTCCACCTTTAGGTATATCCCCATATTAGCGATATTCTGAATTTTGAAATGAAATGAATAAAATCTATAAAATGTTCCATGGATTTTGGTTTTTTAGGGCCAGAGAATTAGCATAGCCTAGTTCCAAATTGGCTAATTTCAGAGATATTGTTTCGAATTTCTTACAAGGAATAAAATACCTTTTAACTAGCAAAAAAGTGTCAGTCGGTGTTGCCGACAGATATATACCCCCAGCCTATGGTTTGCAGAGGTTTTCGGAATTACACACAGATTTTATTATTAGCTTTATATAAGAAATATATTTTATCAAAAAGTTTTCGGACTTAATGTTGATAAAATTTTATAAAATACTGACCACTTGTGAGGGATGCAGCTGAAGGAGTGGACTACTGGGTCCCATTTTCGGACTTGATATAGGGCTGTTAAAGATAATAGGTTGTGCAAGGCTTGGTTGAAATATGACATTCCATTCGCCTGATATTGCATTTATAAATATTGAAAATGTTGACCATTCGTGGAGGAGGTACCAGAAGGAGTCGACGAATGGGTCCCATCTTTGGACTTAATCTAGACTTCGTAATGATAATGGGTTGTGTAAATTTTAGTTCACATCGGACATTCCATACGCCTGATATTGGATTTACAAATATTGAAATTTTTGACCGTTTGTGGGGGAGGTACCAGAAGGAGTGGACCAATGGGTCCCATCTTCAGACTTGATCAAGACTTGGTAAAGATAATAGGTTATACAAAGTTTCATTAACATCGAATAGTCCGTTTGCATGTTATTTTAAAATAATTTTTAGCACAATTTTGACCATATTGTGGGAGAGGTACCAGAAAGAGTGGACCAATGGGTCCCATTTTCAAACTAGATCTAGGCTTAGTAAAGGTAATAGGTTGTGCAAGGTTTGGTTCAAAACGGAATTCCATTAGCTTGATATTGGTATTATAAATATTGAAAATTTTGACCCTCTGTGGGGGAGGTACCAGAAAGAGTGGACCAATGGGTCCCATCTTCAAACTTATTCTAGGCTTGATAAAGATAGTAGGTTGTACACAGTTTTTGGATAGTCCGTTTGCATGTTTTTATAAAATTAATTTTTAACACAATTTTGAACAATTTTCGGGGGAAGTACCAGAAAGAGTGGACCGATATTCCCCATCTTGGAACTTAAACTAAGTTTGGAAGAAACATTAAGATATACAAAGTTTGAATGAAATCGGTTGCTGCCTTCAAAAGTTATCATGCGCACCAGCCAGCCAGACAGGCGGACGGACGGACAAGGCTAAATCTACCCCAAATTTTCTGAAACAGATTTGGTCCAAAGACACATTTCACTATATCAAAGTGTATATACCATCATTAGCCATAGGGCTGAGGATATAAGAAGAACAAACAAATTTAGACACAGCTCCCAAATTAAAGCAAATGGCGCCCAACTTTTGTGCAAATGACACAAAATCACATTTTGCCAGAGTTGGGTAGTTCCGAAACCAACTAGTTCATTGGAACTATTCCGAGAAAGGACCAACCCACTGAGAAAAGGTTGAAATTTAGACACAGCTCCCAAATTAAAGCAAATGGTGCCCAATTTTGTGCAAATTACACGAACTAGTTCATTGGAACTATTCCGAGAAAGGAACGATCGGAACTAGTTCCAGCTCTGTAATTAATATAGTTCCTTTTTCTGATCTTGTTCCTTTTTGATCTCGTTCTTTTGTCTTTTCCTTTCTTTCCTCGTTCTTTTTTTCGGATTTCGTTTTTTTCTGATCTCGTTCCTTTATTCCCATATTCTTCATTCTTTCGTATTTCAAATTGTGTAAATAGTTACATTTTATTATTTTTTTTAATATTTTTATTTATTTATAAAAAAATATTTTGTGCTTATCGTCCTGCAGTTGAATTCTTTAGCTTCATTTCATTTTTTTTCAATTTTTGCATTTATTAACAAATCAACACGGAACTATGTGAGCGAAAAAAAACAAAAAGAACGATGAAAGAGAGATATTCAAAGGAACTATGTAGGAGTCGGAACTATATGGAGCAAAGGAACTATATGGATCAAAGGAACTATATGGAGCAAAGGAACTATATGGAGCAAATTAACTATATGAAAAAAAATGAAAATAAAAACAAAAAGAACGATGAAAGAGATAGAGAGATTCAAAGGAACTATGAAGGAGTCGGAACTATATGGAGCAAAGGAACAACATTAAGGAACTAGTTCCTTAAAAGAAAAAACGAACTAGAAATATCGATTCGCTAAGTGAACTAGATTGCCCAAGCCCTACATTTTGCATAGCGTATTGAATTAAGTCTAGAATGCCGTACGTTTGTTAGAATGGTGATTGTCAAATTTACCCTATGTCGGTTAAAATTGAAATATAGTTTCCATTATAATGAGAACAGTTTGAGATTTAAATAAAGCGTCCATATATACTGCCCAATTTTAAGCAAATGGCGCCCAACTTTTGTGCGAATGACACGAACATATAACATACCGTATTGAACCGAATCCAAAAATAAATACTTGATTCGAAAATGTATATGTATGGATCTGGTATGATCTAGGATTATTAACATCGCACAAAAATTAACAAAATGACAGACCTTACATGGAAAGTGGGAACAATCTTAACCGATTTAAATTTTCCTTGTTCATACGTGTTAAAATTGGGAACGGATTGGATTATTTAAAGAACTGTTTAAAGAAGAACACGTTTAAAGTTTGAGAAGCACTCAGATCGTCGCTTGATGCTGACACATTAAATCGGCTATATCTTCAAGAGATGTTGTATTTTAATGACACATTATAGGGGTAATGTGGGGTCCCTTAAATCGATATGTATACCATCCATATAGCATATCTTGTGATGTAGGGTATCATATAGTAGGCGCGTTCTGACTTTGGTTCAACCATTACTGCTTATTATTTTATATTCCTTACTATAAAGCCCTTAGGGACAAATTTCAGAGAGGTTGATTCGGATTTCCAAACTGGAATAAATTATATACAGACAGTTCGAACGAATATGATCTTATTCCCATCCAGCAAGAATTAACTATCTATTTATACCCTACACAACTATGTTACCAGGGTATTATAGCTTTGTGCAGTCAAGAGTTTGTAACGCCGCGAAATATTGGTCCTAGACACACCTTTAACCAATCTTCACGAAATTTTGCATGTAGGGTGGGTTCTGGCCAATGAAGACCCCTATTGCTTTTGGTAAAGATCGGTTAATATTTAGGGGATGAAATGGACCAAAAACTTAATTTTTGTCGGTTTTTCTGGTCGCTCCAGAGGCCACAATTATGGCTCAAACACCGCGAATTTTTGCCTCGAGAAGTGGATCGGGCCAAAGAATAAGCATGCCTGTTTGATTGGTAAATATTTAGCGGGTCAAACAGACCCTGACTTTTGTGTGAAAAATTACAAAATTTGTAGTCTATAGCGTATATATGTACCCTTGAAGGACATAGACTCGAGAAGTTGATAGTATACCCAAGATGAGTTGTTGACCTTTAAATTGATACCAATTTTATTGTCGTGTGCACTCGGATGTGGGAGTTACACTTAAATATTTACAGGTTTATTTCACTAATGTTATTTAGTAACCCATTACCATTTATTTAAAATATAGCGCTCATCGCTTTGAAATTTTTCATTAGTATCCAGGTAGGGCAAGGGCCAACGCCTATCATTTTCGTTGATGATCAGATAATGATATTGGGATGAAGTGGACCGAAAACTTTTTTTTTTTTGTTCTTTCGAGTCGATCCACAGGCGACAATTGTAAGCCGAACATCACAAACCAACCCACGTTGGGAATCTGGACAAGTAATTAGGACTGTACTGAATATTAGTAATATTTGTAGGGTACAAACATCGCGAAATATTGCCCAAGCTCAGGATGTAGTACCACAGAAAGTTAGATGTTCATGGAGGTTGTGTAGGGTATCATATGGTCGGCCCCGTCCGACTATACTGCTCCGCTCACTGGTTTTCTTTTATAAATTTGAAAAATACTGCAATTTTTTCGTTTTTTTTTTTGCACAAACTTTGAATACATTTTTATTTAAAAAAATATTTCTATATCAATACAATTTTTTTTCCAATATTAAAATTTTTTATCATTTGAAATATTTGATTTATTTAATTAAAATTACTGAATTGAATTATATATTGCTTTCTCCATAACAAAATTTATTATTATTTTGATTCGTGTGTCTAACATTGTTTTTTAATTCGCATCAATTTATCATTTTTGTTTATTTCACTATGCAAGTGAAATATTTATTTAAATTACCGAAACTTTGTTTATCAATATTCAATTGAAAATAATTGTACAAATGCCAAAAGAATATTTTTATGGACCGTTCTTCATTGTTTACGCTAATTGCGCTACAAAATACAAGCGCAAGTTTTTCGAGGTACAGACATTGGAAAAATATTACAAATAATTTTTTTCTATAAATACAGAAACTTTGGACATGTCTTCAGTCCAATGGAATGAGGTTTTCTTTTAAGTCAGTTTTCCCCTTTTCTAGTCGAATTTAATGATCGAAGTTTTGCAATTTTTGTTTTAGCGTTGGATAATTAATCCACAATGGTGGTTGCCTAGGTTCTTCTCCTGGATTTAATTTTCATTGGAAAACTCCCATAATTAAACTCGAGTCGAAAAAGAAAACAAACAGACTTAAAAACATATTGAAACGATCATCGCCATTAAAATTTCAAATAAATAAAAATGTTTTCTTTTTAATATATCCCACTTATAACTTTTTTGTCCTATTCGTATATTCATTGTCCTTTTCCACATTTAGCCTTGCTCTGAAACCCTATTGGAATGTAAATTTCATATAAATTACGGAGATTTCGTAGATTATGAAGAACTGCCGGATTCATCTGAATTTTTTACCATAAATATATCTCACTATGATAAGAATATTAATAGCATGTATAGATACATGAACCGAATTTTCAGATGAAAGAACCGACGAAACACAATAATTTTTGGAAGAGCTAAGAAATTGGTGAGCATTTATTGGGAAATTCGAAATTTATAGTTTTTCAGGGCAAAATAACACAATAAAATATTTTTACGACTGCATAAAGAATATTGGTATATATTATTTTTGTCGCGGAAAAAATTGTCATTCTTTTTTTTTTTTTTTTGTTAAAATTGAAATTTGTTGGCTTTAACAGTTAGTTCATCATTTTTTTAAGTGGATATTTTAAAATCCATTATTGGGATCTTAATGATCCACATAAAATATATGAATATCGGTTTATTCTTTTTTTGAGTAAATATATAGTAAAAACAGTGTTTCATAGACCTTTGAAATAATCATATAAAATATATATATATATATATATATATTTATTCTTAATCAGCGTAAAATTCTATGACGATATAGCCATGCCCGTCTGTCTGTCCGTCTGTCTTTCTGTTGTAATCACTCTAGCGTCTAAACGAATTGAGATAGTTCGCCAACATTTTGCATAGAGTCGTCTTTTGTCTGCAGGCGTTTAGGCATAGCTCCCATATAAGGGTACCCCCAAATTTTCGGTATTTTGGGGTTCTTTAACGCGTTTTTCAACCGAATTCACTGAAATTTGCAACATTGTGTTCGTATTGGGTACTTAATGTCTCCACAAAAAAATTATAAATATAGGTCCACTTTTTTGTAATCATTTCACCTGCGGAGGATAGCAAGATAAAACCAGTAAGGAAAGTAGTAAAGTCGGACGGGGCCGACTATATGATACCCTTCACCACTATGGATATATTAAACAGGACTATTAACATGAAATTGGATGAAATAAAATATGTGATATTTATCTAAATGTGAATCTACCTATATATCCATAAGTTATATAAATCGACTTCAATCAAATATAAATAGGTTATCTGTTGGGCTATGTCTGTACTTCTAGAAAACGCAACTACGTAATTCTATGCTCAATTTTGTACGTTGTGCAAAATTTGATGTCAACCTGACTAGCATGAAGAGTTTGATGTCCAATTTACTTAAAATTGGGCGAAAATATATATGGAAGCTCTATCCAAATATATCGAAGGATATATAGGGACTTTGGTGCACCATTTACATGAAATCGGACGAAACTATATCTGAATCTGGGCCGATTTTCTCGAAACTGGGCAGACATCATTCTAGGCTCAATTCAGTACGTTATGCCAAATTTCCTGCAAATCGAAAGATATATAGGGACTTTGGGGCACCATTAACATGAAATCGGACGAAACTATATATGGAAGCTATATCTAAATCTGGACCGATTTTCGCGAAACTAGGCAGACATCATTCTAGCCTCAATTCAGTACGTTATGCCAAATTTCATGCAAATCGAAAGATATATAAGGACTTTGGTACACCATTTACCTCAAATCGGAGGAAGATATATACGGGAGCTATATCTAAATCTGAACCGATTTTCACGAAACTTTGCACACATCATTCTAGACTTAATTCAGTGCGCTATGCGAAATTTCGTGCAAATCGAAAGATATATAGGGACTTTGGTACGCCATTTACCAAAAATCGGCCGAAACTATATATGGGAGCTATATCTAAATCTGAACCGATTTTCACGAAACTTGGCACACATCTTTTGTGGCTCAATTCAGTACGCTATGCCAAATTTCGTGCAAATCGAAAGATTTTCAGGGTCTAAAGTCCGTAAATCGGGCAAAAATATATATGGGAGCTATATCTAAATCTGAACCGATTTTTCCCAATTTCAATGGGGTTCGTCCTTGGGCCAAACAAATGAGCTGTGCCAAATTTCATCCAAATCGGATCATAAATGCGACCTGTACTTTGTTTACAATTTAACATGGACAGACACACGGACATGCATAAATCGATTCAGAAAGTGATTCTATGCATATTCTCAAAAGGAACCATGGGTCTATCTCGATTATTTTTGCCTGTTACAAACATATGCACAAAGACATAATACCCTGTACCACAGTGTGGTGAAGGGTATAAAAATTAGTACGTAAGGTTCGATAATGAACTATAGTCGCTAGGTCTAGCCTCTGTGTGGAGGTTCCAGAAGGGATGAAATCATCATTTTCTGAAACAGATTTGGTCCAAAGAAACAAGGGTCTCATTCGCCATAAGGCTGAGGGTATAATTATCCATTAAAAATTTCTGAAATTTGTATTATGGTTTACATTCTGGATTCCATAATCCGTTTTTAGAAATGTCGGTATAGGTCCACTTTTTGGTATGTTCCCTATATTTTCATTTCTATTACCTGTCAGTCGGCTTGGCCGAACCTAACGCTTTTTCACTTGTTTGTATTACAAATTGTCTGTGAGAATGTTTACCATCCTCTGAAAATAAAACGAAATACTAACTTACAGACACTAAGGTTGCAAGAATTGCCGTTCAATATATCATTCAATAAGTTAATCTGACAACGTTTTAGTGTTTGTTCAAAAACTCAAAATTCAGATAATAAAACCGAAATTTGTCCGGTATGTTTGGTAGCATTCTAATGATATGCATATAAGATATTACAACCGGTAGAAAACGAAATACCAAACTAAAGATACTAAGCTTAGACTGAGACCTTGAATATACCATTGAAACAGATTGAAAGAGATATTTGGAATCCTAAAAATACCTAATTTTAAATATTGATTGATTTCAATAGAGGGATAGACAGCCGACCCCATAAAGTATATATATTCTGATCAAAAATATATATACTTTATGAGGTCTCCGACAAATACTTCGAGGTGTTGCAAACGGAGAGACAAATTTAATATACCCTCCACTTTATTGTGGAGGGTAGAACAATTAAGAACGTGGTTAGGTTCGAACGAGCCAAATTTCTCCTGAGAAAAATGAAATACCAAATTACAGTAATTCAGGTTTACCATCCCGAAAATACCATATCAAAACATGGGACTATATGAAAAAATGTTCAACCAGATTCACATTTATCACTACAGATTTTTCGGTTGGAAAATGCGACTAGAACAATAAAAGTAACAAAAATGATGTTTTCTCGTTAAATGGGGACTACGCCATTTTCAGTATTTATCAATATCTCAACGGAAAGGCATAAATAAGTATAGAATTTTATTCTGAACAAAAATATTTGCTGTCTATATTATAGACAGATGAAAATCTCTAATGGAATTGAAACATATTTTATATACAAATAAATGTCGTTTCTTATTCAAAAAAGTGGGCAGACTCTTTTTACTTTCAAAAAATACCCAAACTATATGCTTTTATTTCTAAAAAAAATTCTAAATAAAAATTATTTAAGAAACATTAGAAATATATTTTTTACTTTCTCTGTATATTTTAAATTATTAAACCATCTTTTAGTATTCCACTTTCTTTTAATCTGCCTTTTGTATTTATTTTAAAATTTCCATCAAATTTTCCCACTGTGCCGGTATTTCATTTTCCCTAATTGAAATGATTTATTACTCTTCATTCAATTTTTTTAATAACTCTTTAATTTTCAAACCACTCTTACGCTACTAAAACTCTCTTCACATCTCTTCACATCCATCCCAAAAAACACAACACTCACCTTTGTGATCTCTGTCGTTGTCGTAATATTGGCAACATCTGTATTATCTTTTTCAATTTCACGAACAATATCTTTCGGCACATAAGCTTTGCTATCCACAAACGACTTCTCGTCGACTACCTTCCACTGGCCGAGCTTAGAGTCGTAAACTTTCGTTGTGTATGTGGTACGCGTTGTATTTATGACATCATCGGCTATTTCAGGAAAACCAGTATCGTGAGCATTGTCAACAGTTTTCTCTTCGACGATACGCCATCTGTTGTTGCGTTGATCGTAGATTTTCTTCTTGTAGGTGACTTTACAGGTGCCATCCTGGCCGTGGCTAACGAAACGCTCATATGATGGTTGTTTCTTGTTGATGCCGGCCGTACTCAGATCATCACTTATTTCAGTCCATGTCTTGGTTTTGATATCGTAAATCTCTTTCTTATTAACCGAGGTGCTCTTTTTGCTGACACTCTCTTGGGTGGTAGATTCTTGTTCGCTTATTTGTTTGCTGGTTGAGGTGGAGGATTTTGTTGATTTCTTGTTATTGTTGCTGGTGGTGGTGGAGGTGTTGGTGGAAATGGTGGTGTTGTTGGTATTGTTGCTGTTGCTGTTATTGCTTATCAGTCCCTTGTTGCTGCTGTTGGTAATGTTTTGAGTAGTTGTGTTATTGTCATGTTGATTGTTGTTGTTGCTACTGCTGCTGAGGTTTATTTGATGATCAATTATGTTGCTACTGCTTGTAATATTGCTGCTGCTGGTAAATTCATTTATGGAAGACTTGGTTGTGCTTTGTTGATTTTGTAAATCATGTTGACTTATCTTGGAATCCGAGGTAGTGGGTGTTATGGGCATGGTTACCTGATATGGTTGTCCCGCTGTGGGTGAATTCAAGAGCATTGTATTGTCGCCACCGACAACACCACCATCCCCCATTACCATTGACATTTTATTGTAGTTCGGTGTGGAATATGAGGAATATTCTGTGTTGGAGTGATCTTGTTCATTTATGGTCTGTCCATTCACCGACTCGTTGGCCTTAAACTGGCTTGACAACATCGATGATGATGTCATTTCGGTAGCACCATTTATTGTTTTGGCAATTGACTGGTAAGCTTGTTTTGTGGCCATTGATTCATCTTTGATGATCACCGTTTCGGGTTGGAATTCAACCTCAACAATTTGCCCACCACCATCACCGGAGAGTATGGCCTTTGTGGAGGATGAAGATATGGATGATTTCATCTGTTGAGATTTGGAGGTTGAAGAGGACATCATCGATTTGGAGGAGCTGGATAACATTTGCTGTTTGGTATTGGCCGCAGCTGTGTTACTGATCTCCACCACATCTATGGGCACGGAGAATATGGGCTCTTGAATGGCACTTTCACTAACCAAATCAATGGAAGAGATAATTTTGCCACTTGTTGAGGAAAATTCATCCATGGCCTCGGCATGATATTGTGAGGAGGAAAAGGATGATGATTGGGTAAGTCCAGATTCATTGATGACACTGGTTTCACTGGTCATGGCTGAGGATTTTTTACTCGAAGAGGCCTTGTACTGTTTGGTGGCTGATACTTCGTAAAAATCCCCAGCCGTGGATGCTTGCAAATCCTTGTGTGTGGGCTTTACAGCCTTGGAGGTGGAAGAGCCAGGTTTACCACTGCTGGAAGTTTGGGCAGTTGTCGTGGCAGATGATGATGTTGCTGATGTGGATGAGGAGCCATTGGTTTGTTGTTTCTTTTTGGCGTTTTTTGAGACCATTTTGTTGTAAATTTTCTTTTCAAAACTTTTTTTTCCAAATTGGCAATTTCTTTTTCCTTAGTATTTTTTTATTATTCTCTTTTTTAATATTTATTGTTAATTATTATTTTTTCAATACTTTCTTTTTTTATTATTGAATTAATTTTCTTACACTTTCTTATTTTTTTAATTGCATTAAAATTTTTATTTCTTTCTTTTTTTTAAAAAAAATATCACTTTTTTGTTCGTTTAAAGTTCGTTTAACATAAAAAAAAACTTTTTCTTTTCGTTTAATTCTCTAAAGAATTTCGTTGAATATGAAATAGAAAAAAAAATAACAGACACAAAAAAATAAATTAATTTATTTCAATATTCTTAAATGCTTAGCTATTCGTTGGCCTGATGTTGCCTTTTGTCGTTTGAAGGTTTGTTTCAAAAAACAATTTCTTTTTATTGATTACTTTAGGTGGTGGCAGAATAAAAAAAAACAACACGCGAAAAAAATAACACAGCCAAATGTCGGAATGCTTTATTTTTAAAATATTATTCACTAGAGTCACAGCCGAACCGTACAAACCGAGAAAATCACACACAAACATACACGCATTCAAATGATACACATCATCACATACGACGAAAACCGACGACAGAACAGAAAAAAATCAAACGCTTTGCGAACGGTCGGTCGGTTGGTTGGTTGCTTGTTTGGAACCAAAACGCTATCAAGGTACAAAATACACTAATAATTTGGTTTTGTTAACTTAACAATCAAGCGAGCGAGGCAAGTGACGAGACCACGACAACAACATCGAAAAATAAAAGAAAAATCACACACAAACCCACAAACACATAATAACAACAATAAAAGCTACAACAACAACAATGAGAAACATACCACACACAAATGCTAACTAATATCACACACAAACAAAAACAACAACAGCAACAAACAAAAATAATTCTCTCAAAATTCTCTTTAAGTTAGGCCAATTAGACAATGTTAGCAGTTTGGTTTTCTTTTTACGCGAATTTGTTCACTCTTTTCTAATTTTCTCTCTCTTGTAAGCTCTCTCGGAAATTTTGTCATTAATACTCTTTAAATTTAGTGCTGTTGTTTTTTTTCTTCCTTTTTTTTTATTTTACAAAAGGGGTCATTAATTATAACTTGATTTTGTTTTTTTTCTAATTCTCTTTCACTTCTTCCCCTTCTTCTTCGTTATTTTTTTTTTTTCAAATAAATTAGAATTCTGTTTTTTCTTGTTTTTCTTTTTTTACTTTTCTTTTATATTTACTTTAATATTCGGAAGAATAATCGACCGTCGCGTACCAGCACTAAAATTCAACTGATCATTTTTGTTTAGCTGGAGCTATTTTCAACCTGTATGCTGGGTACGCTGTAGCTGGAACCGCAGCCGAAGCCAAAGCTGAAGCAGCAACAGCAGCTAACGTCACTGCTTCAAATTTGGCGACTTCATTTGCTAACTTGTTAACGGTGTACAAGTGGGTTTTAATTTCGAAGCAGCTCAGCTCAATCCTCCTACTCTTCTCTGGAAGCTAACAAAAACAAAAAAAAGCATCGTCGTCGTCATCATCATCACATCAGCAGCAGCCACAGCCACAGCAAGTCTGTATAGAATAAGCGCCGGAATAATTACTATCGACTAGATAGAAGAGCGCGTGAGCGTTTAAGCTAGCTTAAAATAGTTTGTAGTTCGGAGGGAAGTCTAATAATGTGTTTTTTGGTGGGTAAATGGCCAACAAATAGTTCCACAAATCAATTTTGTGGAATCCTGGTGATCCACGGCCTAAAAAATCTTCAAATAAATTATTCATATCCATATACTATGGTGCGTATGATCAACATATTGTTATTCCTTAAATAGGCTCAGGCTATCGTGACGTATGAGTAATAAAATCCTACATAATATTCATACGCCCTATGCACAAGTAAGCTTCGGCTTACTTGAAGATTTAAAAGAAAACCAGTGAGCGGAGCAGTATAGTCGGACGGGGCGACCATACGATACCCTACACAACTACCACAGAACTTAAATTTTCTGCGGATGTTTATTTCGAGCCTGGGCAATATTTCGTGATATTTTCACTCTCTTGCCCGATTAGAGGTAAACAGCTCCTCTTCCTCACACTGACATATTACGAGTATTCAGTACATCTATTGTCCAGATTCCCTTCACCGTGGGTTGTTTTGTGCGATTCGGCTTTCATTTGTGGTCTATAGATCGACTAGAAAATAACACAAAAAATTAAGTTTTTCCTTGACCATAACTGGAACCTCATGGAACATTTTAAAGCGATTAGCGATATAGTTCCGCTCTCTAGAGTGATAATGGGTTATTAAATAATATACGAATACGGAGATACCTGTAAATATTTAGATGTAACTCCCACATCCGAGCACATACAACAATATAATTGGTATTAATTTAAAGGTCACCCACTTCTCTTGGATATAATATCAACTTCTCAGGTCTATGTCCTTCAGGGGTAAATATATACGCTATAGAATACAAATTTTGTAATTTTTCACACAAAAGTCAGGGTCCATTTGACCCGCTAAATATTGACCGATCTTTATCAAAACAGGCATGCCTTTTCTTTGGCCCGATCCCCTTCTCCATGCAAAATTTCACGATGTTCGGAACATTATTGTGGCCTCTAGAGCGCCCAGAAAAACCGACAAAAATTTAGTATTTGGTCCATTTTATCCCCTAAATATTAACCGATAGGGGTCTTTATTGGCCAGAACCTATCCTACATGCAAAATTTCGTGAAGATTGGTCCATAACTGTGGCCTGTATCGTGTTTACAACTTATAATGGACAGACGGACGGACACACGACTCAGCTAGTCGAGATATGACGATCGGTATACTTAAAGGTGGGTCTAGGACCGATATTTCGCGGCGTTACAAACTTTTGGGCCTGCACAAAGCTATAATACCCTGACAACATAGTTGTGTAGGGTATAATGAACAAAAAAATACAATTGTTGTTGTTTTGTTGTATTTTTTGTGGTTAAAGAAAAATCCTTATTTTTGATTGCGGGCATGAACGTCGGAAAACAAAAATTCCAACGGCGTTAGAAAGATCACAGGTTTGGCTCTCGTATGAACAAGGATTATTGACTACGCTAAAAAAATAGCAAAATGGCGGACTTTGATTTTTTTAAATCGTATATTTTTGACCAATAACTAAGTTTAAAAATAAGAAAGATCTACACCGATTGGACAAATAAAAATCCCACATTTTTATACCCTGGGCTACATATTGCTACGGTAATAATCGACTTCATCAAAATTTCCGTTCCATACAATGTGCAGTGAATTTGAAAATGTCCGCCCGTGGTTGCAGACGATAACTCTCAAAAGGAGAAACCAATTTCATACAAAGTTTACACATTGTAATATTTCTTTAAAACTTAAATTATTTTCGGAGAATATCGATATATTCCTGGTGGTACCTCCCCCACAAAATGTTCAAAATTTTGCTGAAAATTATTTAAATAATTTTAAGCAAAATTTTATTATGCGAACGAACTTTTCACAAACTTATATTTCAACCAAATCTTTACAATGTTGGATATGATATTGCATACGCTATAGCATATCGTAATATTTTAACCAAACGTAGATTAAGATCGATGATGAGTCGCATCGGGCCACTCCATTTGGTAACTAATTCACAAAATGGCAATAGCGAATAGAGTATCCGGTTTGGTCATTGATTGTACATCATAATATTTTACCAAACCTACATTAAATTCGAAGATGGTCTATAAGGCAATTTTTTCTGTTACCTCCCCACAGATGGTCAACTCTTTGATAAAAAAAAAGTATTCCTTATATAAAGCGAATTCTGTGAGGTCTAAAAGTGGCATACATTAATATTTTTACTACATATATACTTAAATCAATCATCTCTGGTACCTATCCTGCAAACTGCGCCATTTTTGAAAAAAATTAAAATTTTAATAAAAATGTTCCACCTCGATACTAGACAGTAATCCTGTAGACATCCTCCAACCATAGGCTGAGGGTACATATCTATCGGTAACACCGACTGACACTTTTAATTTGTTTTATTTAACATACTTTCTTTTCAGGACACTATGGACCAGAGATCCCATTTTTGGCCATAATTACAACAGTGAATTTAGGAAATGAAATAAATTAATCTACACGTTTTGTAGAGCTATGGTCACTGATTACAAATTTTAAATAAGATTTCAACATCAAATAAAATGAATGCAAAATGGCGGATAAACAATGAGAAAAAAATAAATGTTTCATTTCTTAGCAGTCTTTAATAACAAAATTGGAAGAAATCTTTCTTTATGTAATATAAGTATAAAACTACCTAAGTTAAATTTGAAATATAGCCGATTTGGTTGAAAAAAATTAAAATTCCACATGTACGAAAAAATGTGGAGTCCGTTTATATGGTCCCCAAACTTTATTTAGTATTGTTTTTTGGTACGAAGATTTCACACCCAATGAGAATTCAAATACAGCTAAATGGATTGAAACCCGCGCACAAAATCCCAAAAATACCTAAATTAGGGAAATAACGTTATATGGGGCAACCCTAAAATATGGCCCACAATTTTGGTAAGAAACTACACCCAATTTGGTTGAAAGGTGAGACTTGTACCTTCCAATTTTATTATCGGAATATGGTATTAAAAGTCAGTTCTATTTTTATACCCTGCACAACTATGTTGTCAGGGTATTATAGCTTTGTGCAGCCCCAAATGTTTGTAACGCAGCGAAATATTGGTCCTAGACCCACCTTTAAGTATACCGATCG